TCTCTTACTCTTGGACTCTCCTGACTCTTAGCCAGTGCATGGCTCAACCTTCACAAAGGATGGCGCCCACAAGGAGAAAGTCTGAGATATGTAGCTCAGACTTCTATTCACTGTAACCACAAGATAAAGCCTGCCTTCAGATTACTGCTGTGAACGGAATGTGAGTAAAATTTTATTCTTACTTTTAAAGAATCCTGAGTTGTGTTGTTATTATTTTAAGAGGGAAATAAAGGGGACGCGGGTGGTGCTGTGGTCTAAACCACAGAGCCTAGGGCTTGCTGATCAGAAGGTTGGCGGTTCGAATCTCCGCAACGGGGTGAGCTCCCGTTGCTCGGTCCCTGTTCCTGCCAACCTAGCAGTTCGAAAGCACGTCAAAGTGCAAGTAGATAAATAGGTACTGCTCCGGCGGGAAGGTAAATGGCGTTTCCGTGCACTGCTCTGGTTTGTCAGAAGTGGCTTAGTCATGGTGGCCACATGACCCGGAAGCTGTACGCCGGCTCCCTCGGCCAATAAAGCGAGATGCGCGCCGCAGCCCCAGAGTCGTCCGCGACTGGACCTAATGGTCAGGGGTCCCTTTACCTTTACCTAACAAATCATCAACTTGCTTCCAATAAGTTGCAATGGGAATGTGCTTTGCTGTTTACTCACTAGCATGAGTGAGGAGGGATAATATCAAAACAATATATCCTCTCTTACCTTCCTTACAATCCCACAACTAGATGAAGTAAAGTACTAATTACCCTTATATATCTGTTCCACACAAAAAATAACACTACTTTTAGAATCACAGAGCTTCACAAATTGCTGGTTCAGGGCCAAATGCTTTTTAAGGGAAATTTTTGTTTGCATGATTGAGCCTTGAATAGTCACTAGGAAAGGGTCTGATGCTCTCTACTACATCAGACTCTCTGGGACTGTTTTCAAATTAGGATTAGCAGCAGTAGTCATATTTCATATTACATTCATATTATCTTTCTGGCAAATATACTTCTGTATATTCATGCCACCTCTCAAGAAATATATGCTCAGAATTTAGCAGAACCTGTGTGATGAGGTTTTGTAGTTTTAAGATCCCCCGATTTGCCGTCAGCATGCATTCCTGTAATTTGGGCATATGTGATATTTTATGCGCTCCTTAGGGATGCAAAGAGAATCACTGTGAGTAGCAAGCAGGAGGGGAATCAGCCCAAGCAAGCAAATTCTGCAACCTCCCTCTCTGATTAGCAGGGCTTAGGGGAGCCCCAAAGTGACTGAAGCAAACAGTCCCTACTACACTAGCTAATAAAAGAGTTTGTAAAATTATATAGAGCTGAGTCTAGTGTATATTGTGAAGCTTCAGAAATTCATTTCATAAACTGTTCCTAAATCTTTCTTATGTAGCCCTAGGAGTGTTTGTCACAGATTAAACAGCTGTTACCTCACTTGTGATTGCATTTTCACTAGGCTGAACTCTTGCTGATTATGAGCCCCATAAGATTTGGTTAAAGTCATTAGTTCTCTTTTGTGAGTCTGTTTCACCCAATCTGGTATCTAGCAATCTGTGCCTTTGTAAATATGACTGTTGCCTTAACATCTTAGACCCAGCTTTCAGAAAACAAAGCAAGTTTCTAGCTCTCGTGGTTGCAAACCTATATAGGAAATCATGATGTGTCTGCCAAAAGTGCCATTGTGCATTGAAGTCTTGCATGGCTATCATTTTCCATAGCTTCTAGCAGTGTTCCTCTACCCAAGCATCCTTGCTGTTCATCAGATCTTTCCTTTGTAAACTACAGTAGTGCTTAAAGAAAACCAACAAACCAACAAAAACAAAGATAAAAAATGTTTAAGCATAAGTTCTACAAATCAAGCAAGTTTAGGCAAATCCAGATAATTTGCACAAAGTGGATTAATTTGCATAGGTTATTACATGTTCCCTTGGCATAGAAGGAACAAAAAGCTCAAGTATGAAACCCTTACTTTCAGCCTGTAATAATTGGAATAGCCTGCAGTGTAATACTGAGGCATGATTAACAGATTATTGTACTACATCATATAATAATTACATGAAATGTGTCATATCAAAGTATAACCTACTTTAACGTAAGAGGTTCATGGAACTCAATAAACCTTATCATGCAATAAAGTGAAGCAGGCTGGTTTGACTTTATTTCATTTGCATATATACAAAGGAATGTGGCTACCAACCATGAGCAACGGTGGCAGACTATGGACAGACACCTTCATTTAATTATTTTATTGGGTACTCTCGATGTGACTATTCATTTATATTTTGTGTGAGGATCTGTTCCATCAGTGGGTGGGAGGAAGGGTGAATTTACAGGGTGTTCCTGTTTGTACAAGACTTGAAAAAGAAACAATTTTTTAAGGCTGCAGTTTACAGAAAGGCTGCTGTTTCCCTTTCTCCAGTACTGTACATGGATGTAAATACATGGGTGTAGCCAGGGGTGCAGCTGCCTCCCTAAATAAAGTAATTAAATAAAAATACTTAACTGACCAATTGTGTCGCAGATAACTTGGTTCTCCCCCCACTAACATAAAGCCTGCCCCCCCCCATTAATCCTGGCTATGTCTATGCTCCAGTCTCCATCTTTCTATAGCACTGTGCAGATATTTTATTTGTACACAGGTTGTTGTTGGTGGTGGGTATGACTCTGCTAACCTTACCCCATTGGAGAGCCCAATGGCCATATGTTAGAAATCACATGTGCACAGGTCCGCCCCACTGCATAGCTCTCAACATGAGTGAAGCCTATACACATTGGTTTGAGTTGGCCCCTGTTGTAATGGAATGTCCAATGTATGAATTTAAACATTTGTGTTTAAGGCTCTACATGTCTTAGGCACAAAATATCTGAAAGAATGCTCTGTCACAAGAGACTAGGGCCCTGCGGGACTTGACATCTTTCACCAGGCCTTTGGCCAAGGCACAGCCTGACCGCCTCCTTTGGTAATCCTCACAGAACTCTAGCCCATTGATTGCCATTAATTTGATTTTGAATTGATTTTAGAATGAATTGATTTTAGAATGCTGTATTACTTTTACTGTTGTTAGCCACTCTGAGCCCGGCTTCGGCTGGGGAGGGCGGGATATAAATAAAATTTTATTATTTTATTATTTATGATTCCCTTTTAAGTGCTGAGATCAGCAAAGTGGGCAGCCTCTGTGGCAGCTCCTTGGTTACGGAATTCATTCCCCAGAGGTGTGCCTGGAACCTTCATTATATAGCTTCCATCACATGCTGAAGATACGCATTTTTACCCTGGGCTTTGACATCTTAAATATGTGTTTCCAGGTTCCACTCCATTCCTGTTACTGTAATTCATTTTAATTTGTTTTTAACATTTAATTTTAACCCACCCTGGGATCTGATGTTAAAGGGTGGGTAATAAGACAACAACAGCCTCTAATATGCTGAGGGGCCGTGGGCCAGCTAGCATGTATATAATTAGAATGTCTGCATAGGGCTTGTATGCAATTAAGAACATGTGGGAAAGGTATCGTTTTGACTTTTTGCTTCATGTGTGAAAACAAATGCAGCTGGCACTAAAATTTAAGAGCGGTGGACTCGTAATCTGGTGAACCGGGTTCGCTTCCCTGCTGCTCCACATGCAGCTGCTGGGTGACCTTGGGCCAGTCACACTTCTCTGAAGTCTCTCAGTCTCACTCACCTCACAGAGTGTTTGTTGTGGGGGAGGAAGGGAAAGAAGATTGTTAGCCGCTTTGAGACTCCTTAGGGTAGTGATAAAGCGGGATATCAAATCCAAACTCTTCTTCTTAATCACTTACACCTAACAATAGTTCTCTGGCTCTCTCCAATGGCCATACTGCCCTTCTGGAACCCTGTAGCCCCCTACAAGCAGCTACAGACTGCTATCTAGGTTGCTGTCTTGCAGTGCATGCCACAATGGTTCAAGTGCACATGATACAACCACATTGCTGAAACTAAGCATGCCTGAATCTGATCATTTTGTCCCATGTACACTGCAATGAGTTCCATGATGGAAGAGAACTGGGTATAATTTTACTGAAATAAATAATACCTATGCTGTATAATTTTTTAAAAGTACATTGCAATTCATTATCTCTGTCCCTCAGCTGTCATAATAGTGGTCATCACTCTACCACTCAGTGTATAAAAACTGAAGCCAGTTCTTGAGTTCTGACACTTTAGCTTGGCCAAAAAGCAGAACAGAGGGTAGACCTTATGCAGAACAAGAGTACAGTACAATTAGTTTTCCATGGCTCCCCCTAACTGCTATGGGACAGTGTAAAGTGTTGGCAATCTGGGCCCTGGTTGAAAGGGAGAAAAACTTGACCCACAGCCTGGGCACTGGGAGTAGAGGACAACTTAAGCCTCCATCCCAATGCTAGACCACCAAGTGTTAGGCTATCAACCACTTCTATGGGAAGAGAAAAAATCCGTACCTGCTATGCACATTAACTGCAGCAGAGTAAGAGCAATCATGTTGCTGAGTTCTCATGATTTTGCAGGCTTATCTATCCATATGTACTCAACTGAAAGCTGTAGCCTGAATGTGAAGTCCATGGATGTGTAATAATGACCTTCCTCTGCTCACACTATGACCAACTTGATGGGCATTCTGCATATTTGGTGAGCATATTTACATAAACATGCTTTGAAAGAATACACCTCCCTCCGCCCTAGTTTATCGTGTTTTAATTTAACCACGCTTGAATGCTCACACTCAAGATTATGGAAATTAATTCAGAATCTTATGTTTTCAGGAGTAGGGTGGAGGTTAGGGCAAAACGAAAGCTTCTGGAAAAAAACAAACTTAAATATTGATTACGCTTGAGAATGTCCTCTAAAGAATCACTGGAACCTGCGCTTTCGTGCAGGGGAACGTTTTAATTAATTGACCTGGGCCAATATTGGGAGAACACGACGGGTTTGCAACAGACCCCTCGTTTCCTTCCTTTGTGCGACCCCCACTACGACTTTCCCCCAGGGCGGAGGCGGTCTTCCCGCGCCCTGTTCATTTCACAGCCTGGCAGCTCACGCCGTCCACCCCTGAGCAGGGAAAACAGACAACAGCGCGGGGACAGGCGCCCAATGGAAGCAGCAACGGCAGGATGAGAAAGAGAAAAGGCGGGGAGAGCGGAGAAACAGGGCGCACCCGACGCCACAGCCACGCCACGTACAGAAAGCGGGCCTTTTGGGGTGGGGGAAGCAAACGCGGAGACTAAGGCGGGGGGAGCCAGGGATGGAAGGAAACGCTTTGCTGAGCGGGAAAGGGAGAGAGCTGCACCCGGAAGAAAGGAGAGGAGGCTTCATTTGACTGGAGGAAGCGGAGAGCTCTAAAAATAAGCGTGGCAAAAGAAGAGGCAATTCCCCGCTCGCCGCTCGCGACGCCCGTTTCCTCTCCAAGCCCCTTCAGAGCTCGCCGCGCGCCCAGGCCAAAGCAGTAGCGGCGCGGCCGGCAGGCGGGGCCCGGGAAGAAGGGAGCGCGGGGCGTGATTGACAGACCCCGCAGCCCACCACGAGGTCGGAGGAGCGGAGAGGCCGCGGCGTGGGGTGCCGAGGTTCAGCCCAAGCGCCTATCGGCTGCTCCGGGAGGAGGCTGTGAGTGACGAGGGGGCGGGGAGCGAGCGGAGTTTGGGCGTGTGCTGCTCGCTGCCTGGGGCTCGCCTCGCGCGCACACACACATTGTCCAGGCTGACGACGCCGACGCCGTAGCAGCCGCCGCTCCCCGCCCTCCCGCAGCACTGAGAGCGCCTGGATGCTGGGTGCCAATGCGGGGAGGGCGCTGCAAGAAGGGGGCTCCGCCGCCGCCGCCTAGGTGGAAAGTTCACCACTGCATCGGGCCAGCGGGGAACTGACTTGGAGCAGCCAGCCGCCTGCAGGCAAAGGGACACAAGGATCTGTGGATCTATCCCGGGGGCTGATCCTCCCCCCATGCAAACTTTGCATTGCTCCCCACGCTGCCTTTAAAAAAAAGAAGCCCCACTGACTCCCCTGAGAAAAGCGCAGCTTTACTCTACTGCCTTTGCAAGGAAAGTAGCCTCGTGGTGGGGGGGACAGCAGACGGTGAGTAAAACCCCTTCCCGCCCCGATTTATGTTGCTGTTTTGTGGGTGGGCGGGAGCAGTGCATTCCCCGAGCCTTCTTCCTTGGAAAAGTAATTTGTTAGCAGCAGCCAAAGAACAGGAAAGGCAATCGAGTGCCCTGCGGTCTGTGGGGCGAGCGTCGCCCGTCTCTCCTCGCAGCCTGCTCAGGAGACGTTCCAAGCGATGGGTGTAGTTCGCAGCAGCAAGCACTGCAGTGGCTCCGGCGGCGTGTCCCAGGGAGCATGTGTGGGGACAGCGGGGAGAGCTGCAGCCTGGCGTCGCAGAGCTGGGCTTTGCCGGCCAACAAAAAGGCGGGCTCGCCTGCCATGGACGCGCTCTCTTCCTGGAACGCAGCTGAAGCTGCTGCAGCTGTAATCCGAGTTTCCAAAGTGAGCGGGGAAGTCCAGCTCTGCCCCCCCCCCCGCTCCCCACGGTAACATTTTAAACGCCCAAGTATAAGAGAGTCGGTCAGGGACATAAGTGTGTGTGTGTGTCGGGGTGGGTTGTTGACGGTAAGTTTGGGAGGCGTCCCTTGGAAAGAAGAGCCTTGAGGGAAGCGTGAGGTCATACATTCTGACAAGGAAGCAACTGTGCATGTGTGTGTGTGTGTGTATTGGGAAAATGGCCTCGTGTGCGTCTCTCTCTCTCTCTCTCTCTCTCTCACACACACACACACACACACACACAGAATATCAGCCTGCAGTGGGGTGCGCCTGTCTCCATGTAGACGGGGAGGGCAGGGGTGACAGCACTACGTTCGAGGGTGAGGGGTGTAGCCTCTTGTATTCTCCAGGCATGTGGCTGTATTCTTCATTCTGAGGTTTCTGACTCCTCCCCTTTGTTGTTAGTCCTTCACCTGTTACAAGCTGAACCTTTCGTAAAGATGCTTGCGTATCCATGCTTTAGGGATCCCCGCATAGAGATTTGCAGGTGCATGGTGTGATGCTTGTGTGCAGATGAAGGGGTAACAGGGCAATACTGTCACCCCCTGTCCTAGTCTAGTAGCCACCTCATACCACAAGCTCTAAAAGCTGTGAACCTACACATCTTGTTTGCACACAAGGAAGTAGGCTGACTATGTGATCTCTTTCTCTCTTCGCTCCCCCCCCCCAAGCACAGTGTGTTTGTTGTCCTCCAGTCTGACAGTGTGTGGGGCTAATGGAGGGTTAAGAATCACCTGCTTGCCTGCCTGCCTGCCTGCCTGCCTGCCTAGGTTTACGTGGTCTCTGCTTTCTGTAAACACTTCCTGCCAGCCAAGCAAAGGGGGATATGGGAGGGGCGTTGCATCTTCCAGAAAAAAACAAAACCCGAAGCCTGCTCTGACTCTTCCTTTGCCTGCTTGTTTCCTCCTTCCAGAGTCTTTTGCTCTATGGCTTGCTTATTTATTTATTTTGCCAGGACTCTGAGTACCTCTGTGTTTGTTCTCGCTTACTCTTCTGGCATCCATCTGCAATTTAGGGAGTGGTCGGAGATGATATGAAGTAAGTTTGTTCACAGCCGCAGATCTAGGTGGCTGCTGTTCTTTTGGCAAGTGCATAGAATAGCAGTGCCCCTGATTCCCTTGTTATAGTTTTGAAAGGCTTTAGGGGAGGAGGGTCATGGAGGCGGCAGCAGTGAGGTTTTTTTTTTTGCATAGAACGATGAGTGCTTTATATTCTTACCCCTTTGGGACCCCTAATCCTTCCCTTTGATCCTGTGTTGCTTTCTAGCCTGTAGTAGCCTCCTAGTATGACTGTGCACTGATTGAGGAGGGGTTAACATGGCTTCCTTCCTTGCTAGTTTATGCCACTCCCAGTGCTGCAAGCTGTCACTTGAGAATAGTTGCTGGGGGACTCTGGCTCTCCGAGTTAATGGTGGGCAAAATCCCAGGAGCCTGATGGCCCAGGATCTTAGAAATTCCATGCTGTGTGCCTAGGAATGTGACCCCCCCCATTCCTCACCACCAAAAAAAAGAAGGGGGGGAAGCCCTGTGCTAAACACCGACAGCCAGATTTTGAAATTGGCCACTGCCAAATCATTTTAAGCATGTTTCTGTCCTTGCTTGGGCTAAACAGTAATGTCAGCTTGTACTGAGCTATAGTCGGAATGAGTTTATTCCCTCTAGAAGCAGGGTGGGAGAGGTTCACATCCTGTTGTTAAAGACAAAAGTCATTCCAGACAGTGAGATCTGGCCACTGACTAAGTGTGTAGTAGCTCCCTGTGGGAGCTACTCAGAACCCACCTGTGAACTCCACCCATGGAAGCGGAAGGCACTGCTCCCTTGTGCCTTGTTGTTCTCTCTGAACACTTGACTTAATATCATTCCCATCAGTCAGGTGATCCTGTTGGTGGGGGCCTACTAATATTGGGGAATCAACAATGATTTATCATACTAAATAACAACAGTTCTAGCAGGGGGTGGAGAGAATGTAAGCTACACTAATGGCTCAAAAGCATGTGTGTCTTATTGCAGCTTCTTGTTGGAGATGGACTGATGTTGCACCCCTGTGCACTCTTCTTGGACCAAGTGGGACTTTTAAGAAAACGTGCATCGGATTGTGTTTGAATCTAGTCTAGCACTTGTGTTAATTTGGGGGGGAAAGTCCTCTCTGCTTAGGACAATCTTTTCTCTTCAAAATAACTGATTCATGGGGAAATGGTTGAAAATAAACAGTTCAAATCATGGCTTTCTGCTTGGTGACTGAAATAATTTAAATCACTGGCAAATCAGTAATTCCTCCTGATGCTGTCAAGTGGTTCTGGTGACAAATTGCTCAGCATCACAAAGTTAGAACTTTGGGCATAGTGGCTTATTTAAAAGAGAAGCTGGCTCTCAAATCTATCTGGAAACCAAGTCCTCTGCCCTCAAAAATTTACCTCTTATTTCTAGATGGTGAATACTAGCTGTAGTTTCTCAGATGTGAACCAACACCTTTCTATTCATGACTCTTTATCTGGATGTTGTTGTATGATGGTCCTGGTATGACCAAGCTGGGTCTCTCTCTGAGCCCTGGCTCAAATTAAGTCATGCACAGGCAGTGGAAGTTCTACCTTTGGTAAACAGGACTGAAAAATACAAATGGAACAAGACTTTTTAATGCAGGGGGTGGTGGTGGTGGTAGGTGGGGTTGGAGTTGAGTTGGGGAAAGCATTTTATTCTAATAACTTTGTGCATTGACACTACTTTGAGGACTGCTTCCCAGATATATAAATGTGGAAAATATGGGGGTGTGCACTTGTGGTGTAATAGGGAAAGAAATGAATTTGTCACTCTTTGCTGGCATCTAAAAGGTTTTTACTCAAGGCTTGGAAAATGTAAGTTTCTTCACCAAGGTGGACATGATACATCATGCATGCACAAACATAAACAGTGGTTAAGTGTGAGTGTGTGAATATATAGAGAGTTCATGACAAGATACAAAATCTTTAATAAAGAGGAACTTTTATGGAAGGCTCAATCCAGGTAACTTTCAAACAACTCATTACTTAATGATAATTTCATGTTGAAATAGAATACGATATTGTATTATTATTATACAGGTTTGTCATATAGGATTATTATTAATGAACAAAGGGATTGGGGTTATTTACTCAGTGTTCTTTCTTGGAATCAGTCCAGGAGTCTCCTGAAATTTAATGAGGTCTTGGTATTTGCCTAGATACGTAGGGTTTCACTTCTTTTAGCCTGCACTACTGAGTGCATTTACTAGGTAACAACTCCCAGGTGGACTTCCTTCTGAGTAGATATGCTTAAGGATTGCACCATCATTCTTTCACTTGCTCATATTTTTTTCATCAGAGTTGTGGAGCTGCAATTATGAATCTGGGCAGCAATTGAAAGTGATAGAAATATTCTCCTTGACTCTTGGTTTATCTAATAAACTTGTTGGTAGCATTACTGCTAAAAACATTTTCCCAAAGTGACATAAAAATTCTTACATTCAGGTTCTTGTGTCCTGTATCTAAGACTGCACCTATTGTTAAATATGTTATTAAGAATGTAACTGACCTATAGAAAAGATTCTATGAACTGAAAATATAGGCACCATCTGTACGTTTGTTATCCATGAAAATCTTTCAATAAAAAACACGTTATTGAAGATATGTTAGTAAAATCTGTTTGCATATGAGTGATGAATAAGCATATGTTCTATATTCATACTTTATTGCAAGTTTTCAGTGAGGAAGTAAAGTGAAAGGAAAAAAGAGGGGAAATAAAAAATACTTAAAATTGTGATTACAATATGGCCCATCATAAAATCCCTTATAGTTGGTGTGATGGGATTATGAGCTGCTTGTGCGTAAAATCGTATTCCCTCAGAGTTTGTTCAAGTCCACAAACCTCTGTCTGTGACTGAGCCCCTCTGACATGGCTCCTCTAGTCACTAGAAGATTCCGACAGTGGTTGCTTTCGTAATCGCTTCCAACATAAAAGCTCCTTAACGGAAACACGTCTTCTGGACTCTCTGCGTGACAGTTTCCGGCGAGGAGTGGGTGTCGCTACAGGAGGTCCGGAAACCTCACCACTGTTTTCGCTGGAAGTATCTCTGAGCCATCCCCCCAGCTCCCTTTCCCTCAGTTCAGCTTCTCTCCCCTGCTGGTTTCCTCTTCAGCTGCTGAGTCTCTTCCAACCTGTCTGAGCCCTTTCACCTCCCTCAGTTCAGCTTCTCTCCCTTGCTGGTTCCCTCTTCAGCTGCTGAGTCTCTTCCAACCTGTCTGAGTCCTTTCACCTCCCTTCCTTCCGATGGCAGTTCCCTGACATCCACCTCCCCTCCAGGGCCCCCTTCACCCCCTCTCGCCCCTCCTCTACGGGCGGTGAGGAGGCAAAACCCCGGAATGAACTTCCTTCATCTTCCGATGTCTCGAACACTTCTCTCCACCTGTTGCGGTTCCTGGTCTCGAAGCACTCCTCCTCCTCCGAGTCCATCTCCCCTTCCCCTTCCGATTCTGGGAATCCTTCCAACTCCTCCTCCTCCTCAGTGGTCCCAAAGTATTCCCTCCGGAACCTCTCCACAGGCTGAGGTTTCCATGGGAACCTTTGATGGAACATTTCTATCAATACCTCGTCATTGATATCTTTGGCCATTACCCACGTGTTTTCTGACTCCGGTTCTCCTTCCCACGCTACCAAATACTCCCCTTCCACCTGGCATCAAGGATTTCTGCCACATGACTGCTGCATTCTCTTTCTTCTATGACCGGTCCCGAGTGGCCATCCCTTCTCGTCCCCCCTCGTACGGTGACAGTAACGACCTGTGAAATACTGGGTGCAGTTTCATGTGGTTGGGTAACCGGAGCCTGAAAGCCACTGGGTTGACCTGTTGAATGACCTCAAAGGGACCCAACCTCCTGGGTCTTAATTTCTTACAACCTCCTTTGAACGGCAACCCTCGGGTTGACAGCCACACCCTATCTCCAACCCTTATGGTTTCACCTTCCCTTCGGTTCTTGTCTGCCTGCCTCTTGTATTCTTCCTTCGCCCTTTCTAAGTTGAGTTGGAGCTGACGGTGGATTGCTTCCATTTCTTCTACAAAATGCTCGGCTGCCGGTACGCTCCATCTCTCCCTTTCTCCCCCTGGGAAAGCCCTGGGATGACACCCATAATTAGCCAAGAAGGGGCTCATCCCTGTGGACACATTCTCGGCATTGTTGTAGGCAAATTCCGCCAGCGCCAACTTTTCTACCCAGTCATTTTCTCTGTCATTGACATAACACCTCAGGTATTGCTGGAGGACACCGTTTGCTCTTTCCGCCTGCCCGTTGGTTTCAGGGTGCCGGGCAGTCGAAAAGTTGACCTCCACCTGCAGTAAGCTCATGAGCTTCCTCCAGAACCTGGAAGTAAATTGTTTTCCTCGGTCTGAGACCACCCTCAATGGCACCCCGTGCAACCTAAAAATGTGTTCTACAAATAACTTCGCTGTCTCTTCCGCCGTGACTGCATGCGAGCAAGCTACAAAGTGGCACATCTTTGTTAGTAGGTCTACCACCACCATGATGGCTGTTTTCCCTTTGGACTTCGGCAGATCAGTCATAAAATCTATCGACACTGCCTCCCAAGGTCGTTCTGGTGTTGGTAAGGGTTCTAATAGCCCCGCCGGCGCCCGCCTTTCCCCTTTGGCTCGCTGGCACTGCTCGCACCCTCTTACATACTCACGTACATCCTCCCTCACCTTAGGCCACCAAAATTCCCTGGTGACCAACCACATGGTTTTGTGTTGCCCAAAATGCCCGCCGTGGGGCTGTCATGCAACTGCTTGAGTACCCTCCCCTTAAGTCTCCTTCAGGGATATACAGTGCCCCTTTGTAATACAAAGCTCCATTTCTTTCCTCGAAACCCCTTGATTCCTCTCCCTCATCCCTAAGACCTCTGAGCTTATTCTGGGCGTATTCATCATTCTCTGTTTCTTCTACCAGTTCTCTTTGTCCCACCAATGCCGCCCCACACACCCAGCGGTCCTCTGGAATGACATGTCTCTCTTCGGGTGCTCCCTCCCCTCCAAATATTCAGGTTTGCGTGAGAGAGCGTCCGCCCTAATGTTCTCTGGGCCTGGCACGTAACAAATCTCAAAGTTAAATTTGGAGAATTCCTGGGCCCATCTCACTTGCCGTTGGTTGAGCACTCGTGCCGTCCTCCAATACTCTAGGTTCTTGTGGTCAGTGCACACTTGCACCTTATGTTGTGCGCCAATTAGCAGGTGCCTCCATCTCCGGAACGCCTCATGAATGGCTAGTAGTTCTCGGTCATACACCGTGTAGTTCCTCTCGGATTTGTTCAGCTTTCGCGAAAAAAGCACACGGTCTCCACTCTGACTCCTCCTTCCCTGGCTGGAGAAGCACCGCCCCAACCGCTCTGTCTGATGCGTCAGTTTCCACTCTCATCGGTTTTTGTAAATCCACATGCAGGAGCTGTTGTTCCGAGGCGAAGGCCCTTTTAGTTCCTCAAATGCTTGCTCCGCCTCCTCCGTCCAAACGAACTTCTTCTTACTGCTGAGACAGTCCGTAATGGGCGCCGTCAGGTGGGCAAAGTTTGGGATGAACTTACAATAGAAGTTCCCAAACCCTAAAAACCTCTGCACATCCTTCCTTGTTTTGGGTGTTTTCCATTCCAGTACCGCCTGGACCTTGCCGGGATCCATGGCCAACCCCTTGTCAGACAGGCGATACCCCAGGAATTCCACCTCCTTGGTATGAAACTGACACTTCTCCAGTTTCACCCACAGCTGGTTGGCTTGCAGCCTGCTCAACACTTCTCTGACGTCTCTCACATGCTGCTCCTCATTCTCAGAATACACCAACACGTCGTCTAAGAAGGCCACACAATTCTTGTAAAGCAACGGCCCCAGGACGTGGTTCATAAACGATTGAAATGTTGCGGAGCCTGCTTGTAGACCGAAGGGCATAACTAAGTATTCAAATGCCCCTAAAGGGGTGAACATGGTGGTTTTCCATTCATCCCCCTTCCTTATTCGTATCAGGTTGTACGCCCCCCTTAGATCCAGCTTGGTGAAAATCTTTCCCTTCCGCACCCTTGTCAAAATGTCGTCAATCCTGGGCATCGGGAAGGCCACTGGTTCTGACACTGCATTTAAGGCCCTGAAGTCACACACCAGTCTCGGCTTGTTCGTGTTTTTTGTCCACAAAAACACTGGGCTGCCCCAACCGCCCTGGACTCTCTGATGAACCCTCTCTTCAGGTTCTTGTCAATGAACTCTCTTAGCTCCTGCATCTCTCTGTCTGACATGGCGTACAGCTTGCCCACAGGGAGCTGTGCCCCAGGGAGCAAATTGATTTGACAGTCAAAGGCTCTATGCGGTGGTAGTTGGTCAGCTTCCCTTTCGCTGAAGACGTCGCGGAGATCTGCGTATTGTCGTGGTACCTTCACGTTCTCCGTCACTTCAGTCCCTGCTAGGGTGGCTTGGGCCCCTGCCAAAACCTTTCCCTCTTTGCAATGTTCTAAGCAATGTGCTGACCCAAAAGAAACCACTCTTTGATGCCAGCCCACCAGCGGATCATGTAACGCTAGCCAGCTCATCCCCAATATAATGGGAGCTCCTCCCAAGGTGGCCACATTAAATGCTATTAGTTCGGTGTGCCTTGCCACCTTCATTATCATTGGGACGGTCTGCAAGCTGACTTCTCCTCCCAACAGCTCCCTGCCATCGATCGTGGTTACCTGCAGGGGGTTGCTTAAAGGGAGCGTCTGTATCTGGTGTTCAGCTGCAAACTCTTTGCTCATGAAATTGCAGGAGCTGCCTGAGTCCAACAGCGCCTTTATCTTTAGAGGGTGTCCGTTTGGCAGCTCTAGTGTCACTTCTATCACTAGGGCGGGTTTAGGAGGTTCTGGAGTGGGCACTTTCACTGCTCTTTGGCCTGGCTGCTGTGCCCCGACAATGGCAGCCAGGCGTTGGCTTTTAGTTGCTCCGGTATTTTTCCTCTCTTCCCTCCACAGCTCCCACCATCCCTTGCCATTCCTTCCTCTGGGGGCAGACTCTGGCAAAGTGCCCTGGCTGTTGGCAGAGAGTGCATTTCCGGGCGCCTGTTCCATCCTTCGTGCCCCCTCACTGGGCTTTGAAACTGCGCGCGCGCGCGCTGTTCCGATTTCCATCGGCTCTGCCGGCGGGACAGTTGGCTCTGGAATGTCTGGAATGCGGAACTCCTTCCAACGTTCCCCTTTCCCTTCCCGCCTCTCCAATGCTCTCGCCTCCTGGCGCGCTCCTATGGCCAGCGCTGATTTGGTCAGCTGGTCCATAGACTCCGCCCTGGGCGCCCGGGAAAGTTCATCTTTCACAGCCGAAGAAAGCCCTTCTTCAAAGAGCATTTGAATGGGTTCCGCCGATAAGTCCCACCCCAATCTGTGTATCAGCATGGTGAACTCAGTCCAGTACTCACGTACAGATCGGCTCCCCTGTTTGCAAGCCATTAACTGTCTGCGCACCACTCCCTTTTCAATATCGCTGGAAAACATCAGATCCATGGCGCGAAAGAACTTCATCGTGTCCTTTAGGACGTCACTATGCGCTGCCATCAAGGGTCTAACCCAGTCTCTCGCCCCCTTTTCAAGATGCCCAATCACAAAAGCCACTCGTGATTCCTCATCAGGGAAATCATCAAACTGCAGATTGAGGGCATATTGCATTTCTGTCCGAAAGCTATGATAGTCCTTGGGCTCCCCCCCAAATTTCTGCACCAATCCTGGTACCTTTCTGGCGAGCTGGGTGGCTTTCTCCCTTTGTCTGCATCTTGAGCCCTCCTCTCCTCCAGCCTCGCCGTCTGCAGCGCCAGCTGGACCTCCAACACCCGGTACCTTTCTTCCAGGCTTGGACCCGCTCCAGCCCCTGCTTCTCCGGTTCCTGCTGGGTTGCTCATTATGCCTTCTCCTGCACAAGCTGCGTTCAAAGACTGTCGGAATGCTGTGATGGGATTATGAGCTGCTTGTGCGTAAAATCGTATTCCCTCAGAGTTTGTTCAAGTCCACAAACCTCTGTCTGTGACTGAGCCCCTCTGACATGGCTCCTCTAGTCACTAGAAGATTCCGACAGTGGTTGCTTTCGTAATCGCTTCCAACATAAAAGCTCCTTAACGGAAACACGTCTTCTGGACTCTCTGCGTGACAGTTTCCGGCGAGGAGTGGGTGTCGCTACAGGAGGTCCGGAAACCTCACCACTGTTTTCGCTGGAAGTATCTCTGAGCCATCCCCCCCGCTCCCTTTCCCTCAGTGCAGCTTCTCGCCCCCTGCTGGTTTCCTCGTCAGCTGCTGAGTCTCTTCCAACCTGTCTGAGCCCTTTCACCTCCCTCAGTTCAGCTTCTCTCCCCTTGCTGGTTCCCTCTTCAGCTGCTGAGTCTCTTCCAACCTGTCTGAGTCCTTTCACCTCCCTTCCTTCCGATGGCAGTTCCCTGACAAGTTGGTATATAGTTTCAAGTAATATTATCATCAGTCAATTTTAAATATTTTCCTAATGTAGTATTTATGCATCCTAGTACTTTCCTCCACAATTTGTAAGTGTCAGACATTTCATAAACATGTGCTTCAAAGAAGCATTTCCCTTATTACATCTCCAGCAGCATGTTGTCGACGTAGGTAGTCCCGTTCTATACAAATGTTGTATAAAATGTAATTTATAATCTAATGACACATTTGTTACAGAAGCTAAAACATTGTCCCACTGCTTAGGTAAAACAGGGTTTGTTACATTTTGAGCAATGTTAATATAAATAGGGTTTTATGGATAGTTTATTTGTTAAAAATATGGCTGCATGGAACTGTGTACAGTACTGGGAAAGAACAAAGAACTTTAATTTCCTAAAAAAGAAAAGATGGAGGTATTTATAGTAAGCGTTGTTGACAAGTGGTCATGTTTGCAACCCTTCCTTGCTGCTTTCTTGTGCATTTTAAAACATAAGGGTGTGCATATTTTTTTTTAGAACAGTGGCCTGAAGTGAACTTTCTAGTTGGTAATTAAACATCAGACATGGCTCTAAGCACTAGTTCTTGGGGTGCAAGCAACAGAGGAGGGCTGTTGGCTGTTTGCTAGCTATGTTTAGTCAGTTGTTGCTGCAGTAATATTATCAGTAGCATTTGACAGTTTTACATGCTGGCAAAATGTGAAAGCAGTGTCCTAGACTGGCATGATAAAGGTCTGGAAAAGATCACAATCTCTGACGAGTAATCTAGACATTTGATTTAGAAATTCATCCTCCCCCCCCTTTCATTCTTTGTTTCTGTTTGATTCCTTTACTTTTTCCTCTTTTTCAGTCTAAATTTGAATTGTCCATGAATGGAATTTCAAAGTATTTTCTGTCTCTGATTCCTTACCTTTGAGGGCCTTGTCAAAATGTGGAGGGGTGTGTCTATGTGTGGAATAAATAAACACTTGGAAGAGCTTTGTAGAACGCTACTTTCAGGAACACCATTAGAATGTTTTAATTTTATATTGTTCGCCTTTATACATCTTTAAACCAGCAATAGGCAGCCCTATCACATAAGTTAAGGACAGTTTAGATTTTGAAAGCGCCTCCAATTTTCAAACTGCTTCATACAAATCCAAACAAAAGCCCCCCTTCTGCCTTCCTTTACAGTACTTAGTTTCTCCTCAGACATAATATTTTCTCCATGCTTCTTAACTTATTTAACCCTAATGCCACTGAATTGCATACTTATTTAATGGTAAATGGAGTACCACTATTATACACAAGGTAAATTCCAGAAGTGTCCATCAAATTGTAATCCTCATGTGATTCTCTTAAGAAATGAATTTATGCAGTAAGGAAGTGTGGGAAATTGCAGTCAAAAAGAACTATGCATGACAGCTAGTTAGTGCATGGTTAAGATCATAGTTCAAGTTCTCTCAGGCTTGTCTAGATCACACCCTCTGTCCTTGGGAGGAAGGGATTGGCAAAGCCTTTGTCATGCCCCCTCACTCTGGAAGGAAGTAGGGCTGGGCGATATATTGATATATCTTCCAAAACCGGGTTGAAGTTCACATCATGATAATTGTTTCATAATATTTGAGCTGGCAATATATCACGAATCACAATGTGTGTAAGGGCTAGGCAATATCTGGTTTTCAACCGCGATAACTCACCAGCTAAACACTGCAATGTTATCACCAGATAAACATTGCAATCTACCACGATGTCTGAAATAAGTATGGAACTGTACAGAGGCGAACAGGACAATATTCTGGCAATGGCTACTACTTAGAGGTCTAAAACAAATAAATGACAATGTTATCAATCATCACACACTCAGTTTCATCAGCAGGCAAGCCAAAATGCATCCCAACAGGACTTTTGGTATGGGGCTTGGCTACCAAAGGGCGGTATTCAGGACAATCCAAAGTACGGTGATGAGTCTCTCCAAAGGCAGAGACTGTCCTGGGAGCAAATAGAAGGACTGGTGGATGATAAAGCTCTGCCTTTGGAAAGCTTTGATTCCTGGCCTCCTGCATAGCCTGTTGTTACAAGAGATGGAAAGGGAATCCTGGCTGCAAGAACAATGGTGGTAGGGTGTGTTTCTGGGGGGTGGGAGAAAACAGCCAGGTGGAAATGACTGACTTAGCATAATGCATAGGAAATAAAAGACATTTGCAGCCTGATGGGCAATGGCCTGCCCCACCCCTTCTCTCATCTTTTGTTCCTTCAAATGAGGCCCTGACTATTTGGTTTTTAAACATGATTTTATCACCCTGAACAACGCTGTCAGGAAGAACACTGCTATATTTGTTTTTGTTATTGCTTATGGTTACGTGTACTGCATATATACTTGTGTAAGTACTTTTAAAAAAAAAGATGTGGTTTCTAATACATTTAGCATTTGCATTAAAATGCAAGTTGATGCAGCCATGGAATGGTATCTTTGGAATCTCTACTATTGTGTATTCAGAGAGATGACATCATATGCTAGTTTTTACACAATAGAACTTTATATTTGAAAACTGAAGGAGTGTTGGGAAGCTACATGTATCTCGAATGTCTATTCCTTGTCATAGCCACGTGTTCGCCCCTCCTCCCACCCTCAATCTTAGGTGCATGTATGATGTTGCCTTTTTGCAAATACAGGCTACTTCTAGGCATGACTATTTGGAAGTAAGCCACATAGTGTTTTTAGTGGGACTTACTTCCTGATAAGTGTGCATAGGATTGCAGGCAGTCCAGTTAAAGCTTTGTAGGTGATAAAATATTCCATAGTTTCACATCTTCCCAACAAGAATTCTAGTGAATGAGATGGATGTTTGAGTGGTAAACAATGAATGCTTTGGATGGCAGGGACACTGTTAACATGAAATGTATATTGTATATCCAAAACCTATGTGCATGTCGGTTTTAAAACTCTGGTTAGATAAAAATTATAGAAAAGTCAAGCATATTTAAATTTCACTTGCTTTAATACATTGATCCTTGTAAAATGGCATTTTGATAAACTTTCAGAGAATATTCAAAGTTGCAAACCTATTTTGTCTCCTTTATATGATCCAATAATATATAGAATACTATCCTGTTTTGTTACAGTATAGTCAACAGTGGTGGATAATTGTGTGTTTTTTCCAGTGAGAATATGCCATATTAAATTACAGGTTTGGGAGACTATTCTCTCATATTCTGGTAACCTCCATCTTCCTCACATTGTAATTTTTATTGCTCTTGTGTGCTTTCTCTCTTCTTTCCTTTAGTATTTCTTGAAAACCTTTTTCCTTTATTTACTTCCTTTGCTTTTAAAAATCCTATATATTTAATAATTACATGGCATTTCCTCCAGGTCCAATAGAGTCAGACAAAGTTTACCTTGGTATGGGTATAAAATGGTGATGGACTGGGGTGGCTTCATTTCATGCATGCTGTTCAGTTTGTTAGAGTTTTCCAAGTTAGTTGTGTGGAATCCATCAGACCTTTGTTAACGTGATTGTTTCCCAATTATTATTGGAGAATGTATTGGATGTTGATAAGAATCTTGTTGAATTTGCACTCCTGGTTTCAACAGTGAATGGGGAAGCTATGACCCAATAGATGTTTAACTCCCTTCAACCTGAGCTAGCAGGGCCAAAGTCCAGGAACAGAGGTAGTTGGAGTCCCACAATACATTGGGGGTGGAGTGAAGGGAGAGATTCCTCATACCATCAACTTCATAACCCATTGTGTAAAGCTGAACTTGTTTTAAAACTGAAGGATTACCTAAGGGCTGGCCAGGATTAGTAAAAATGGAAGCTAGATGCTAGTGGAGTCCTTCTAGCCATATACAAAGAGAGGAGGGGGAGTGTATAAGCCTGAGACTTTGCTTAGCCTCTTACTAGTTCATGCACATGTGTGTGAACCAGTGCATTGAGTGTCTACTGGGTGGCAACCATGGGTTCTCCAAGACATTACTTGAGAAGCAGTCTTCAGTGTATAAAATCAGATTAAAGAGAAGGCATAACAACTAGGACCAGGGGACAGAAATCTTAAGTATCACTGTAGTGAAGTATCAGCCCTTAAGTTTTTGTTTTGCTTTTGCTAAACTCCAGGCATTTCTGTTCTCTTCAATCTGTGAGCATCATTGGAACACATAAAAATTATTTTGTCTTGCGACATTTTCTCTCGGGCTGCATAAGTAAATACAGTATAGTTAACTAGGAACCAAGTCCTATTTAACTTGTTAGAACTTGATTCTATGTAAACACGTAGAGTGATATTTTACAACTCTAAAAAAGCACATTTTAACCCCTCTTGGTCTGTTTTCTGTTGCGTCTGAATGTTGTTAATGCAGAATAGAGTTCTGAAGAGCAAGTAAATGTACATTCTACCCAATGTAGGTTTCACACATGCAGACTTGAGCATAAATTCTTTTAAGCCTCGTGTGAAAATGGCCAAAGTGTCTATCACTTTGTCTATTCCAATATACTGTAAGCTGAACAATTTTTGCTCATGGAAATTATGTCTTTCTCTGGGTTGAGTTTGCTCCCATAAAGGCATGGTGGATGATAGATGGTTTTCTTAAGTCCTTCCTGCTGCTTAGTTGCAAAGCTTTTGAACTTTGCTTGTTGGGGATGGCAGTGGTAATTTATGCTGTTTGTTGGTGGGCTCTCAGTGTTTTAATAATATAGGCAAAAAAGTATTGACCCTCTTTTTCCTCTTGGCAAAGATCAGTAGTGATGAAGAAACAATAAACCCTTTCAAAATGGAGACCTACGTGTGAAGTTGCTCTACTCCTAGAACCTTTATTTCTGCTTTCTGTAAGGATGCCAAGGTGTTGTAGGGGGTGAAAATGTTAGAGGCAAGTAGCACATATCTTAAACCTGGTTACATAGACTTTAAACAATATCTCCTCTTCTCCTTTCACCTGGGAGAAATGGTATGATTGATTCTATCATGCTGTCAGTCTTGGCTTCAATCTACTTCAAGCATAAAATAAGTGAACATTTTGCATTGAATCCAGGTTGTTGGTACTGCTAGGATGTGTCATGGGCCGGTTCTCATTGTCTCCCAATTGCTGTATTTACTCAGAGTTGTGCATTTACCCACACTACTACTCCAAGTTAGAACTTCGGTCACCTAACCAGGGCCTGGCACAGGAACTATCAGAATATGTGTGACGTAATCCATTGCGTGAACTCAGTCATTGCTTAAAAGCAGCTGGTCTGCCATCAAACCTGAGCAGAAACAGCTGTCTGGCCTCTGCAAGTTGACCCAAATACATAACATCTCTGAGGGACTTTGATTACTTTGTGGACTTGGTGCTGTTGGAGGATTGCACAATGGATATTGGAGTTGGGGAATGTGACGAAATTCTCTCTCTGTGTAAATGTCTGTAAATGTGTGTGTCTGCAATGTTCTGCAACAGTTCGAGGCTTTGTACCGTTATGATATTGCAAACCTGATATTGCAAACTTGGTAACAAGTTCTGACAGAGAAGAGTGAGACTACCGCTTTGAGATTTTATTAGGCGGAGCTTAAAACAGGTAAATTCACTCGGATTGGCCTGGATGAGAGCAAGACTCCAACTGGCTGGAGGTTGCAGTCATTTGTCAAAGAAAGGCAGTCGGGTTTAGTTAGATGGGATTTTGACAGTTGAGTTGGATGGAAAAAGGGAGTTGATGAGCACAGTGTGAAGGATAAGACCACAGAATAGCTGAGGGGGAAAACTGGCATGTATATTCATAAACAGGGTGTTATTAACAGTTGTCCAGAGTAGATCAAGGAAGAAAGCCAGTGGCTGAGAGGCTGCCCAGGGCAAAGACCTTAAGAGTGGAAGTTTCTTTTTTAAAAAACTGGTGGTTTGGAAGCTCTCTAGCATCAGCAAAGGAGGCCTTATTTACTCCAGAGCACAAACTTTTTAATCAATGTGACTCTTCTTTCAAGTGAACTATCACTTTAGACAGAGTGACGATGCAAGGGAAAGATATGGAAGAGCGCGTTTGCTAATGATTTGTCAGTTCTCTGCTCTTTGGAAAAAAGGATTTTTTATAATCTCTTCAAAGATTTATCATTTAAGCGAATGATTAATAGGCTTGAATACAACTAGTTAGGGTACTTCAGTGTTGCTCCTGTGAGAATACAGGCATTCTGCATTGCAGGTATGCCAATCAGCTATTCCCATATTCATGAGGTCCAGTGCCGAGCGCCTTCTGGCGGTTCCCTCACCACGAGAAGTGAGGTTGCAGGGAACCAGGCAGAGGGCCTTCTCGGTAGTGGCACCTGCCCTCTGGAATGCCCTCCCATCAGATTTCAAGGAAATAAACAACTACCTGACTTTTAGAAAGCATCTGAAGGCAGCCCTGTTTAGGGAAGTTTTTAATGTTTGCTGTATTTATCGTGTTTTTAATATTCTATTGGGAGCTGCCCAGAGTGGCTGGGGAAACCTAGCCAGATGGGCGGGGTATAAATGATTAATAATAATAATAATAATAATAATATTAGACATTCACATGCCCTACGCTTAACTTTTGAGGTGAGCTTAATATTGGATAAATAAATAAATGGCAACTGCAGTTGCTAAGTATGGATGAGCAGTCTTTTTTGTTAGTCATGTGCCCTCAAATTTGCCTTTGGTATCTTAGAATCATAGAATCATAGAGTTGGAAGAGACCACAAGGGCCATCGAGTCCAACCCCCTGCCAAGCAGGAAACACCATCAGAGCACTCCTGACATATGGTTGTCAAGCCTCTGCTTAAAGACCTCCAAAGAAGGAGACTCCACCACACTCCTTGGCAGCAAATTCCACTGTCGAACAGCTCTTACTGTCAGGAAGTTCTTCCTAATGTTTAGGTGGAATCTTCTTTCTTGTAGTTTGGATCCATTGCTCCGTGTCCGCTTCTCTGGAGCAGCAGAAAACAACCTTTCTCCCTCCTCTATGTGACATCCTTTTATATATTTGAACATGGCTATCATATCACCCCTTAACCTCCTCTTCTCCAGGCTAAACATGCCCAGCTCCCTTAGCCGTTCCTCATAAGGCATCGTTTCCAGGCCTTTGACCGTTTTGGTTGCCCTCCTCTGGACACGTTCCAGTTTGTCAGTGTCCTTCTTGAACTGTGGTGCCCAGAACTGGACACAGTACTCCAGGTGAGGTCTGACCAGAGCAGAATACAGTGGCACTATTACTTCCCTTGATCTAGATGCTATACTCCTATTGATGCAGCCCAGAATTGCATTGGCTTTTTAGCTGCCGCGTCACACTGTTGGCTCATGTCAAGTTTGTGGTCAACCAAGACTCCTAGATCCTTTTCACATGTACTGCTCTCAAGCCAGGTGTCACCCATCTTGTATTTGTGCCTTTCGTTTTTTTGCCCAAGTGCAATACTTTACATTTCTCCCTGTTAAAATTCATCTTGTTTGTTTTGGCCCAGCTCTCTAATCTGTCAAGGTCGTTTTGAAGTGTGATCCTGTCCTCTGGGGTGTTAGCCACCCCTCCCAGTTTGGTGTCATCTGCACATTTGATCAGGATGCCCTTGAGTCCATCATCCAAGTCGTTGATAAAGATGTTGAATAAGACCGGGCCCAAGACAGAACCCTGTGGCACCCCACTAGTCACTCTTCTCCAGGATGAAGAGGAACCATTGATGAGCACCCTTTGGGTTCGGTCAGTCAGCCAGTTACAAATCCACTGAGTGGTAGCATAGTCAAGACCGCATTTTACCAGCTTCTTTACAAGAATATCATGGGGCACCTTGTCAAATGCCTTGCTGAAATCAAGATAGGCTACATCCACTGCGTTCCCTTCATCTACCAAGCTTGTAATTCTGTCAAAAACGAGATCAGGTTAGTCTGACATGACTTATTTTTCAGAAATCCATGCTGACTATTGGTGATCACAGCAATATTGGCTATAGACCAGCTGGCTGCAGCCAGGCAGGTGGAGATGTGACTGGCGCCCAGTAATTTCAAATGCTGGTTGGAGTTACCTGTGCCTACAGAGTTTCTCCTTTTACTTTTGGCAGCAGTCTCACCCAACCCTGTATGACATAAGAGGGCTATAGACAGAGCTGTAACCAAAACAGCCTGTCCCATCCCCAACGTATATGGGTTGACATCATTTTATAAGTGAAGAGAATGCACACCAGTTAGCATTAACTGTGGTCAACATCAATCCAGATGTATCATATGTAATGCCACTGTGGGGAGGACAGGCAAAATTCACACACTATAAGAGAGGTACAATTATGATTAAGTACTGTGGGTATTTAATGGGATGCGGGTGGCGCTGTGGGTAAAAACCTCAGTGCCTAGGATTGCCGATCGTATGGTCGGCGGTTCGAATCCCCGCGGCGGGGTGAGCTCCCGTCGTTCGGTCCCAGCTCCTGCCCACCTAGCAGTGCTGGCTCGCCAGAGCAGCTTCGTCACGCTGGCCATGTGACCCGGAAGTGTCTCCGGACAGCGCTGGCCCTCGGCCTCTTAAGTGAGATGGGTGCACAACCCTAGAGTCGGACACGACTGGCCCATACGGGAAGGGGTACCTTTACCTTTTACTGGGGGTATTAAGTGTATATCCACCCTTTAAGTCTTTTAACTAGACACTGAGCAGAAAGTGGGCATCAAAACTCTTTCCACCTTTAGGTCTTTGCATTCAATTAACAAACCTTCATACAAATGCATTACAGCCCTTTCTATAAAGCAGCTTGCCAGTTTCTCACAAACCTAGCACAGCAAGTAGAAATTTTATGAGTGCTCAAATGTACTGAAAGACGTGCAAAGCTATGGGGGCAGGATTATGCTGTGGAAAGATGTTGGCTGTTGGCCTGGGTGTGCTCTGTATGTGCTGAAGTCTGTGATTAGTCATGCTTCACAAAAGCTTCAGGGATTGCTGTTCTCATCCTACAGACTATTAGCCAACTGTGGGGGTTGAAGAAGAGGAATGGCAGGATTATCCAGATTCAACAGCTACCTGCTAGTAACATATTCCAATTACTTGCCCAGGCCCCATGATGTGAATTTTCTGCAAGATTTTAAACTTACTTCTATGTGGAAGGACTGAACTCTGTATTTTTTACAATCCAGCCCTCTGTCTGCTTACACTCAACAGTCCTAACAGGTGAATCTGGGCTTGTTCTACAGTGTGTGTATGGTTGCAGTACTACTGAAATGAACTTAAGATTCTAGCAAAGATGCCTAGCAGTAGATGCATAGTGAGATCAGTCCCAAGATTCCCCTTATCCTTCTCCTCTTCATCCTGGAGAAGAGTGACTAGTGGGGTGCCACAGGGTTCTGTCTTGGGCCCGGTCTTATTCAACATCTTTATCAACGACTTGGATGATGGACTCAAGGGCATCCTGATCAAATGTGCAGATGACACCAAACTGGGAGGGGTGGCTAACACCCCAGAGGACAGGATCACACTTCAAAACGACCTTGACAGATTAGAGAGCTGGGCCAAAACAAACAAGATGAATTTTAACAGGGAGAAATGTAAAGTATTGCACTTGGGCAAAAAAACCGAAAGGCACAAATACAAGATGGGTGACACCTGGCTTGAGAGCAGTACATGTGAAAAGGATCTAGGAGTCTTGGTTGACCACAAACTTGACCTGAGCCAACAGTGTGACGCGGCAGCTAAAAAGCCAATGCAATTCTGGGCTGCATCAATAGGAGTATAGCATCTAGATCAAGGGAAGTAATAGTGCCACTGTATTCTGCTCTGGTCAGACCTCACCTGGAGTACTGTGTCCAGTTCTGGGCACCACAGTTCAAGAAGGACACTGACAAACCAGAATGTGTCCAGAGGAGGGCAACCAAAACGGTCAAAGGCCTGGAAACGATGCCTTATGAGGAACGGCTAAGGGAGCTGGGCATGTTTAGCCTGGAGAAGAGGAGGTTAAGGGGTGATATGATAGCCATGTTCAAATATATAAAAGGATGTCACATAGAGGAGGGAGAAAGGTTGTTTTCTGCTGCTCCAGAGAAGCGGACACGGAGCAATGGATCCAAAGTACAAGAAAGAAGATTCCACCTAAACATTAGGAAGAACTTCCTGACAGTAAGAGCTGTTCGACAGTGGAATTTGCTGCCAAGGAGTGTGGTGGAGTCTCCTTCTTTGGAGGTCTTTAAGCAGAGGCTTGACAACCATATGTCAGGAGTGCTCTGATGGTGTTTCCTGCTTGGCAGGGGGTTGGACTCGATGGCCCTTGTGGTCTCTTCCAACTCTATGATTCTATGATTCTATGGTCTGACGGGTCCTGTCTGATGGATCCTCTATCCCTGTCAAATACCTGATTTGCCCAGCCTCAAAAGACGAGTCCTTTTTTTTTTTTGCTGCTGCTGCACTGACAGGTGAATCAGGTGTTGGTGGGGTAGAACAGTAGCAAAAGAGCATCTTTTGCTGCCACACTACGTTGCAGACCCCTTGATTCATTGCCTAGACATTTTGTTTTGGTGCCTACAATGGCTCCTAGCATTCTTATCTCAGTTTCTAACACTTCTCCAACCTTTTCCAATAGCGAGCCTCTACAGCTGTGATAGTTGGATGTGGCCTTTCATGAAGCCTTTTCCACAGACTCCTTTCTGGGATCTTCTTGTTCTGATGTCCAAACTAACGTCCTTTTTCTTCCCCCATCTCCAGCTTGTCTGTTCCTGGACTTGTTTCTGTACAAATCTGAAATAGTATTGATGCTGCTTTCAGTCTTTAAGTTGGAGACAGGTGCCCCATTGGAAGGATCTGCTGCTGGCTTGCTTTGTGTCTGGCTCGCTTTGGTTTTTCTTCCCAAAACCTGAAAAGTTACCAACCTATTAATTTATCCACACTGTTGTAGTGTCTGGAACCAGCCCTAAGTCAGTGCGCAGGAGCCATTTTATGAAACAGAATCCATCTTAGGGCGATGAAACTGTACAGCAGTAGCTGCACCTCATGCTCTCAAACCAATGAGATGGAAGACAAAGGTACCTATGCTATAAGACAAGGATGGGGAACCTTGGGCCCTGGGGCTGAATGCAGTCCTCCAGGCCTCTCTATCTTCTTGGGATTCTCCCTGGCCAAGTCACATTTCCCAGGTTTCACCCCTCACCAGTCCTATTTTTCACCATCATTGCATGTTTGCATGACTGGAAAGTATCACTGAACACTGATAATAACTCCTGCTTGCTTGAATGGAGGATTGACAAGGGTGTGTGAGCCTTTGTCAAAAGTTACCTATTTTTGAGAGGTAAAATCTACATGTGTTTCACTGCTCACTTTTGCATGGAGCCCCTGGAGGTTGCCCAGAAGGAAACGCAGCCCTTCAACTTAAAGAATTTCCCAACCCTTCATAAAAGGAAATAGCTACAATATCAAAATTTCATAGCTGTAACACAGGTAGGGATTATGATATTGTGCCATCTTCATGTTCTGTAGCATTGTATTGAGAACCTACCCATCCTAGACTGGTTATGAAACCTCTAATTGCTGTCGCTATGGGAAGAGGTCTTAAATATAGGTGTAAAGTCTAGCAAGTTTTGGGGTTTGTTGGGTTTTTTTGGTTATTGTTCTTCTTCATGTTTGCCAGTTGTTGTGCACATTTGCAAACCAGTGTGTTTCCCCCTCCTGCTACATTTCCTTTTGCTGTTGCGATCCTTGGAAGACTCTGCCACCTGCATTGATGTTTTTCCTTGTGAACAAGTCTGAGCAAATTAGCTTCACTAGCATAGCAATTTCTAAATGCATTCCTGCGGGTTTTTAATAAGACACCCTCTTTTGGGCACCTCATTGATATCATGGAACTACGAAGAGTGAACAAGAGGTGTGAGAGTATGTTGGACTTGAACTGGAGAGATCCTGTTCAGCCATGAAACTTGTTGGGTGGGGAGCAATTGAATGAAGCAAGACAATGATCTCTCTTTGTAGGCGTGTCTTTTTACTAAACATGTTGTATTAAGAAAATCAGTGAGGTTTTGGAACCTCTTAAATATATGTTAACCTAGTTCAGGAGTTGCCGGCTTCTGCTCATGATAGCCTATATGGATTTGCTCTATGGCACTGTTTATAAACCATTACTGCTGTAAGCAAGATTTAAGGCACCAGGATTCCAAGTGTGTGCAAATTCTCATTGAAATGGCACCATCTCATAGTTACCAACATCTGGCCTATTTTGCTACAAACTCTTTTTTATTATTACATTCTTTTTGGATCCATTTTCCTGGATAACAGAAACACAAAGTGATTTACAAAATCAGTATAATACTTGAAATCACCATATGCCTAATACATAAACATTCTACCAGAAGATAGGACACCGGGTAAATACAATATGGCAGAAGATCCATATTGGTTGTTGAATGCCTAACATTCCTGATCTTTATGGCAAATATGCAGAATAACTGAAGAGTAGGTTTCATATTTTGCTTTTGTAGTTGAAGCCAAATCTTATTAATATTCTTCTTCTTTGGCGACCACCCATATCTGAGTAAGATTCTCTTCCATGACCACGGTCTTAACAGTGAGTCCATAAGTGACTGTGGATGCCCATTCTGGATCCACACGTCCTTCCACAGTGGAGACATAGGTTTCCGAGTGGCAGTTGATCACAGTGAGGGGTTGCCAAGCATGCCTTCCTCTTAGCTCTTTTCTCCTTTTTGCCCTGAGTTCATGCTTCTTCAAAGTCCATATTCTCCAATTGGAGTGCTCGCAGGCCAGAGTTTCCCAGTTATCAGTGCTTGTGTTACTTTTTTTTTTTTTTTTTTGCCTTGAGAGCATATTTAAACCTCTTTTGTTGTCCACCAGTATTTCGCTTTCCATTCTTGAGTTGGGAATAGAGTAGTTGCTTTGAAAGACGATAATGAGGCATCTGAACAACATGACCAGTCCAGCAAAGTTGATGTTGAAGAATCATTGCTTTGACACTGGTGATCTTTGCTTCTTCCAGTACACTGACATTAATTCACCTCTCTTCCCAAGTGATGTGTAAAAATTTTCGGAGACACCATTAATGGAATCTTTCAAGGAGTTGGAAATGGAGTTTATAAGTGGTCCATGTTTCACAAGCATAAAGTAAAGTTGGTAGTACAGTAGCTTTGTAAACAAGCATTTTGGTTTCCCTGCACATGTCCTGGTCCTCAAACACTCTGCGCTTCAGTCGGAAGAAAGCTGCACTTGCAGAGTTCAGGTGATGCTAGATTTCGGCATTGGTGTCGGCCCTTGTGGAAAGATTGGAAAAGTGATTGACATTTTCCAACATTTCACCATTAAGTTGGATTTGTGGTGCTGCAGAAGGGTTGTTTTTTCTTGTTGGTGCAGCACTTTGGTTTTTGGGATTGAGTGATAGGCCAAGTTTTTCATACGCTTCTGTGAAGATATTTAGGATGGTTTGGAGGTCATCCTCTGAGTGTGCACACATTACATTGTCATTAATAGCAACACGTGTACAAGTCTTGAAATAAATCCACTAAAAAGAGTTATTAATTTTTTTAAAAAAAGTTTACCTGTGCATCCGCAAACATTGAGACAGAACCAGAAGGAAAAACAGCTGAATTAAAACAAGGAAACACAATAAAAAAAAATTGAGATTGAGAAATACTGAATCAGAGAGGAGGAAGTATGTTCTTGTCAGTGTTAGAAACAGATATGAAAGCTAGGAGCTAAATGGCACCTTAATCCTAGGTTACGGGCGCAACAGTGGGATGTCTAGGTGTACTTTTTTTATAACAAGAATACAAAGCTGAAAATGAATGAGCTGCAGCTAGAATATTATGTTCATTTTTCACATAGTCTAGTCCTTCCCCTGACCACCCCCTAATATTCTTAAGAGGGTCTGTTCTCCAGTCTTCTGAGAGTAGCTGGAGGTAGAAAAAAGTCCTCCTTTCCTTCCATTTCGCAGTTTTAATCTGAAATCTTAGGTGCAGTACTGCGCCCAGAGCTCAGAAACTGCTCGTGCTAATGAAATTCCCTGTCACAAAATGCACCTAGAACAATGGGAGTTTTGAACACTGGTTCTTGCCCAATACATAATTACAATAAATCTTTTTGCCTGGAGAGCACTCAAAAGGGAATGGAAGCCTTTATAGCTTCTAAAAGTTTATTTGGTTATATTGATTTTCTTTAGAGGAACTCGGGCTGCTTTTTTATTCTTTTAAGTGAAGTGGAGCATTGATAGGTTAAAGAGAGAGAGAAACATGTGCATCCACTGGCTGTAGGCTTAGGTCCTCTTGATTGGAGCTTGGCAGGAGGTGGTGGCAGTAGCAGCGGAGGCCTGCAAGGTCTCACGGCAGCAGTAATGGGAGGTGATGGCAATAATGGCAACAACTCACAGCAGTGACAGAGAGTGGCGGCAGTGGATTGCGAAGCCTCGCGGCAGCGACTCAAAATGGCAGCAGTAATGGCATAGGCCTGCGAGACCTCGCAGTAGTGACAGGATTTGGCAGCAGAAGCTGCGGTGGCCTGCGGGGACTCATGGCAGTGACAGGAGGTGACGCCTTGCGGTGGCGATGGGAGGTGGTGGCAGCTTGCGAGGCCTCTTGGCAACACAAACAATGGGGCTTGCAAGGCCTCGCCATGGTGGCAAGAAGTGGTGGTGCCTGCAAGGCCTGGCAATAGTGGGAGATGGTAGAAGCTGTGGCAGCCTGCCTCAGCAAGGCCTTGCAGGCTGCCTCTGGTTCTGCCACCGTCTCCTGCCATCACCGCAAGGCCTTGGAGGCTGCCATTCCTGCTGCCACCACAACAAGGCCTTGCAGGCTGCCACCACTTCTACTGCCGCCAGCCACTGCTGTGGCGAGGCTTCGCACGCTGCTGATTATTGTGCCAGGCTGCTGCTGCTTCTGCCCCCCACCCCCCAGCTGTTGTTGATCCTACCACCACCAGGCTGCTGCCACTTCTGCTGCCTAGCAGGCCTGCTGGCAGTCCCAGATTATTTGTATGCATTGTGACTCATCGCCATACTTTGGTTTGTCTGGAATACCACCCTTTGGTATCCAAGCCCAAAACCAAAAGTCCTGTTGGGATGCATTTTGGCTTACCTGCTGCTGAAAGTACCCATGAAGTGATTGATAATAACATCATTTATCAGTTTTAGACCCTTAGCTGGTGATATATTGTGGTACTGAAAACCAGCCCAGCCCTGGTTTTAACTTCTGCCTTGGTGAACAGCTTCTTGGGGGTGGGTAATATTTAAAAATCATTCAGTAGATAAAGTTGTTGAAGAAGATCTCATTTCTTAATCAAGACTTTGGTCCTGCGCTACCATAATCAGAAAGGTATTTGTCATAAGTCTTGTAGGAGAGTCTCTTGCTGAAATGCTATCATTGAGCACAGATGGTGATAATTCGTTGGGAGAGGAAATAAATGATACTGAAATGTTGGATCATGAGGCGAGTCGTTGCTTAGCAAATGTGTTGTTCCCAATAAAACACTTTGTGAAGTACAACTGTACTGAGGATGGCTAATATCATACTCTGCTTTGCCATATGACTTTGATACCAAGTTTGGGTACTTAAAATCTGAATAGTCCAAACACTTTCCACAGTGCCTGAAACTGTAGAAGCCTGACACTCGGAATATCCCAGATGCACGATTCTCCTGCCATTCAATAAAGATGGAACTTAGAAAGTTATCTATAATCCAACATTTAATATATTTCAGGGGTCATAGAGCTATGCTAGGAAGGAGAAACGGGAAAAGAAACCTGGGGAATCACATTGAACCAATGTTTCATTATAGCTTATGCTGAAAAGAGCACCAGCATCTTATTGAGGGTGGTATTAAATTGTGACACTAAAATCTCTGACCCCAAATTTCCACACCTAATGGACAGTGTGTCGCTATAATGCTCCCACTTCTTTCCAGCAGAGGTTGGCAGTGTTATGTCTGCTCTTGGCCACATTGCTAATACCGTATTTTTCGCTCTATAGGACGCACTTTTTCCCCTTCAAAAATGAAGGGGAAATGTGTGTGCGTCCTATGGAGCGAAGATGCCATAGCCCCGCGCGCGCTCTCCCGGCTGGAGAGGTGACGCGCGGCTATGGCAGGAGCCTCTACAGCCCCGTGTCACCTCTCCAGCCGGGAGAGTGCGACCCTCTCCCGGCTACAGAGGTGACGCGCGGCTATAGAGGCTCCTGCCATAGCCGCACGTCACCTCTCCAGCCGGGAGAGCGCGCGGGGCTAAAGCAGCCCCCCGCGACCCTCTCCCGGCTGGAGAGGTGACGTGCGGCTATGGCAGGAGCCTCTCCGCTGCGCCTTTCCGCTGCTCCCTGACCTGCTCTTTGCAAAAATGTTGAAGGCTGTAAATTTCAGGATTTGGAATGTAGGACAGCGTCTCACCCTATATGGGGATAGCTTTAGAGAAAACTGAAACATAGGTTTTTAAACTGGGGTTGGGGTTGAGGAAGTGCTGTGCTCTAGAGTTCCAAGTAGTATAGTGATGGTATGATAACTATGTAGAGTCTGGTTGTACAGAGGTTTTTTTGATCAGTAGAGAAGCAAGCAAGGAAGTGAAATGTCTTTACTCATGATGGCGTGCACATTAAATGTGCCCTGAGGCACACTTTGTCCTTTTGCCCGCCTGGAATGCTGTTGCATGTTAGCACATGCATACACACACACCTTTTTCATAAGGCGAGATCGTTTTTACATCTCTTCGTGGAAAGTAAATGATATGGGTTTTAATTATGTCATGATGTTACACTTTATTATCACGTGAAATGTTTAAGGATTATCAGTGCATCTCCTAAAGTTTATCTGCCAACGTTTTGCAGTCCTTGCAGTTCCTACAGCTCCCCCTTTCCAAGGAGCATGGTTCTCTCTCCATCCCCATCCATTTTATCCTAATGCAACCCTATGAGGGTAGACATATGAGATGTGTCTCTTACTGAATTTGCCTGAAGGAAGAAGCAGAGAAAAGGAGGACTCAGAATGGAGCGGCATCAGGAGCATGATAGAACTGGAATGTGCTGGTGGCTCAGTTTGTGTGGCAAGTTCATGTTAACACTCAAGAACTGTTGATTCTTGCATACACATAAGTTTTGGAACTGTTTGCTTTCTGCACGACTTCCTGTCCCTCCTCTCTGTCCTGAATGCCCATATCATTCCTTTAGTACAAAAAGTGTCTTTGCAAATCTGCTACTTAGTGTCCAGTTATGTTTTTCAGCAAAAGAAAGCATGCAAAACAGGCAAACATCCAGTATGCCTTCTTTTCTAAGAAGTGCTTAATATTGCTTTGCAGGAAACATTAAATTTAGACGGATGCTCTAGGAAAAAGATTATTTTGAAATGTAAATGTATTTTTATAGGAGGGGCTGAGGTCCCTCTATCCCCCCAATAAAATATTTGAGCCCCCCCCCCCCCCCGTTGCAAGAAGATCAAACCTCTCCATTCTGAAGGAAATCAGCCCTGAGTGCTCACTGGAAGGACAGATCCTGAAGCTGAGGCTCCAATACTTTGGCTACCTCATGAGAAGAGAAGACTCCCTGGAAAAGACCCTGATGTTGGGAAAGATGGAGGGCACAAGGAGAAGGGGACGACAGAGGACGAGATGGTTGGATAGTGTCTTCGAAGCTACAAGCATGAGTTTGACCAAACTGTGGGAGGCAGTGGAAGACAGAAGTGCCTGGCGTGCTCTGGTCCATGGGGTCACGAAGAGTCGGACACGACTAAACAACAACCACCCCTGTTATTTTTCTAACATGAGAAAAATCAGAGTTGCAAGCTGTCCCTTGTTCATTGGCTGATCTCAGTCTTGAAGATTTCTCACAATGCCCAGTTTGGGGGAGGGAGATGGAGCTCTGAGAATGGCTCACGGATGAGTGAGCTATTAAGATCACTTTCCACTCAAATAAAGTGTGCTGGCTCCTAGACTTGCTGTAGCTCTTTCTGAGATCCTGGATGCTCTGCTGTGTACGGAAAGGACAGCTCAGGATGTAAACAAATGCAGTCAAGGAGTCTAGAGGCTGAATCTGAGATGGGGCCACAGTGGCTCCAGCCCTGCTGCACAGACAAAAACCTGCCTATGAATTTAAAGATTTAAAGTACAGCCCTTAAGTTCAGCATATCAGATTCTGCTTAATTTATTGCCTTGTTGCCAGATTAATTAACCCATGCCTCTGCTAATGCTGCATATAGGCAGACATTAGCTGGGTTGCAGTTTGGGAGCATCTTTAGCATATCCAGGTATTTCTCTTTCTGTGTGCTTACCCTGGAAGTTTGTGCTCCAGCTGGCAAGAAAAGAAAAAGTAGCTATGGCTAAGAGATGAACCCCTTATACCATGGGTCGGCAAACTAAGGCCTGTGGGCCAGATTAGGCCTAATTGCCTTCTAAATCTGGCCTGCGGATGGTCCGGGAATCGCTGCATGGTTCACCAGTGTGTGAATCGCCAGCACACGCTTTCTTTCTCTCCCCCTCACATGGCGGTGCCATCCCCTCCCCCCTCCTGGCTTCTCCCCGCACTGCTTAGAGGAGGAAGGGGCCTAGGCTTTGTGGGCGCCAGCCCCTCTCTGGAGCCCTTTCGTTCACCGCTCATCATCCCTCCGCCATCCCAGCCCCTGCCACTCGCAAGACACAGGAGCCGCGGTGGGCTGAGCGTTCCTCTCAAGCGGCCGCCATTTAAAGCAGCCCTTCTCCGGAGCCGTTTCGCGTGCCGCTCATCATCCCTCATTCATTTTTTTCCTTCAAAATATGGTCTGGCCCCCCACAAGGTCTGAGGGAGAGTGGACAGGCTCCCTGCTGAAAAAGTTTGAGGACCCCTACCTTATAACAGCTTTGCTGTTTTCCAAAAATTTCTCACTAACCCAGGGCACACATATTTTTATGAGACTGAACTTACACAGTCAATTTTCATAGGAAAACAAGGTGATAAATACATTTAATTATTTGGTGGTTCCTTCCCCAATGAATGCACATTGTGTAGTAAAAGAAGTAGAACGCTTCCATTGATAGCATTGCATTTTCCTTATATATGTATAAAGAAAAATAATTTCTCCAGATGTGTTGGCTCTGCATTTATCAGACTAGGCAAATGAGGACGTATTAAAGGATTTTTTTTCCTTCATCAATATAGGCAGAACTGTAACTCTGTCAAATGAAACTATGTGAGGACGGGCTCCTTAGTTTAGTGGTTGCTCTTTTTAAGTTGCTCGTAGTCACATACTCCTGAGGTTTCCTACAAGTGCAGATGGTTCTGGGTACAACTTGATACTTTCTACTGCTGCAGATAGGAGAAGTCGTATCCACAGTTTCTGGGTTGCTGGGGAGCCCATCAGAAGGATGGTGACAAAGCTGATGTATCCTGAATGCAAGAAGGATTGCTTGTAAACATTTAGCTAACTGACAGATGAAACTGACCTAAAATGTCATGATTCAAGAAATGTTCATGTAAGAATGGTGTGTGTGTGTGTTTCATGTCAGACAATGCCAACAGTTCTGTTCCTTTGTAGTTTATATTATCTCTTGCTTTTGAGGGGGACTGTGTCATTTCCAAAGGATTCAGACTAGCTTAGCTTGTCAACAGAGTTGCCACCCAGATTTATATCTTATCCTGCACAGAAGGCAATATATATACATAGACAAACTCCTTAATGCTCCCCAAAGTCTCATTCTGTAGTTGAGAGATGTCAGGGCAAAGGGTGGCTTTGCACCTGTGTGATTAGACCCGGCTGAAAGCCCATACTACCTTTCTTACTTTAATATTTTTTCCCACTGAGAAAGAAAACCCTAGATTGATTCTTGCAAAATTATATTTATGTATTTAAATGTTTATAGACTGTACTTTCATATAAAATATTGCAAGATACTAATAAAAAGTAATTGTCTACAGCAGTTTTTTATACCTTTCAGAATATATTTTTAATGACTAAAATATTTCTTCTTTTTTAAAAAAATAAATAAATCACAATAACCTTTGAATAGCTTCCACTTTGGAAAAACACATCTTACTCCCTTCCATGAAGAAGTTGCATGTTAAGTCAAAAAGGCTATATACAGAATGGAACTAAAACTTCTGAAAATGAGACTGCGTACACACCATACATTTGTAGTACATTATTCCCGCCCCCCAAGAATCTTGGGAATTATAATTTACCCCCAAAGCTACAATTCTCAGCACCATCAACAAACTACAGTTCCAAGGATTATGTGGGGGAAATAATGTGCTTTAAAAATATGGTGCACACACAGTCTGTTTGCTTTGCTGAGAGAAAGGGTTAATTTGAGTGTATGTTTCTCTTATCGAGCACTGGTCAGTTTTCAGCAGACAATATAGCATCGCTTCATGCTCTCTGACTATCAGGCTTGAATTCTGTTCACTAGTGCAAATCTAGAAGGTGGTGGTTTTGACCATCTCTGTTCCTGAAGTGAAGTCTGAAAGAGGCGGAATGAATGGAGAATGGCCAACCGGATTAGAGTATCTGAAAATGGGCTTCCTAGCAGATATTAGAGCAAGAGTAGCCAATATGTCCTTAGACTACAGTTCCCATCATCCCTGACTGCTGTTCATGTTAGTTGAGGCTGATGTTGTGATCCAACAACATCTGGAGGGCACCACATTGACTGTTGCAGTGCCAGAGGGAGTACATTAATATTTGTGCATTAAAAGCCTTAGAAGGTCACTGATTATTAAAACATTTATTACCTTGCATGATGTGAAAGATTGTGGTGGAGCATATAGGTCTCTGCTCCAGAGACCTAGGTTCAATTCTAAGCCATGAAGTTCACAGGGTGACTTTTAGCAAGTGAAGTTGCTATCTTGTGGACTAATCTGCCTTTCAGGGTTTTGAGGATAAAACAGAATAATGCCATGTTTGCAGCCCAGAGTTTCTTGAAGAAAGGGTAGGAACCAGGTCTGACCATTTAAATACAGTGGTACCTCGGGTTGCATACGCTTCAGGTTACAGACTCCGCTAACCCAGAAATAGTGCTTCAGGTTAAGAACTTTGCTTCAGGATGAGAACAGAAATCGTGCTCTGGCGGCACGGCGGCAGCAGGAGGCCCCATTAGCTAAAGTCGTGCTTCAGGTTAAGAACAGCTTCAGGTTAAGAACGGACCTCTGGAACGAATTAAGTACTTAACCCGAGGTACCACTGTAATGTGATTTAAGGCACATCAAGTTTCAATATTTCAGTGGGAGAGTTGAACATGTGTTTAACTCTTGTTGATATCAGTGGAATTTTAAAGCTGCTTAATTTTGGCTGCATTATGCCCTGGGTGTGTTTTTGAAATTTACTTTGTTACTTCTACAATCTGCCATGGGATGATGGGTCACAGCAGTGGAGGATGTTTTGAGGCAATTTGGCACAGCTGGCTTACTACATAATAAATGTACCTTTTGTTTCTCATTTTCCACATAGTCTGTCTTGCTTTCTTCAAGGATGAGCTGCAGTTGTGGAGATATCTTGTGGTAGTTCAAGCGCTTGGAAAATATTTTGTACATCAAGGCTGCTATTGCTACCTGAAATCTGGTTGCATGAGGGTCACAGGTGCCAGTTTTCTGCATATGCACACAGTATTACTAATAATGAGGAATGACTCTTTATAATCACCCACTCCTTTTCAGAGTTTTTCTTTTAAAATAACACTTTTTCCTGTGCTTGAGCACATCTGTCAAAATGGACCAGACTGCATTGAAGATCACTCCCTGCAGAATAGCTGGTCTGCCCCCCATCCCCCGCCATGGTCTGAAATCAGTTGGATAGTTGCTGGCTTGTTGGCAACAGCCATGAACATTTATGGTGATTATCTCTAGCAAGGAGCCCAGCATAAAGTGGAAGAACCCTGCCTCAGTTTCTCCCATGCATCATGGAAAACTCTGAGGGGGAGGAGTCTCCCATCCTGCTAGGTGGGAGAAACAGATTCTGTTCCTCCTCTAAGAGGAGAATTCAAAGGAAGGGGAGGGTTCAGCCTCACTTTGCACCACACTTTGACGATACTTGGAAACCGTTCAATTTTGTTTCATCACTACAGTGGTACCTCAGTTTAAGAACAGCCCTGTTTACGAACTATTCAGTTTATGAACTCTGCAAAACCGGAAGTAGTGTCCCGGTTTTCGAATTTTACCTCAGTTTAAGAATGGAAGCTGAACGGTGGAAGGGCACCGGCGGCAAGAGGCCTCATCAGGGAAAGTGTTCCTTGGTTTAAGAACGGACTTCCAGAACAGATTAAGTTCAAAAACCAAGGTATCACTGTACTTAGTATATCTAAAGTATGGTATGAAATGGAAAACTGACCTCTTCTTCTCCCACATTCTTTGTGTTCTTTGGGCAGGAATGGATCTCCGCCACTAGATATCAGACTTTTGTAACTGAAAATAAACTGTAAGAAGTACTGATTATATGTTGGAATATTATTAGAATATTGTTGTTTCCCCAGTTTTATATGTCTATTGGATGTTCCGTTGGATGTTCTGTTGGTTATAGCTTCTGATTCTAAAAGCAAATGAGTTGCTTCTAGCTTGTGTATTTCTCCCACCACCTGGCCCCCCTCCCCCTTAGTTCCATAAACTCATTCCCTGTGCCCCCTACCCTACCTTATAAAAAGGCATTATTCAGAAAAGCGCTTTGCACGACCCACTAAGGAAAATAATAACACAATAAAATTCAACAGTAGCAATTAATTGCACATGTAAGTCAAAATCACATTCAAATTATTTAGTTTAATTAATTCAACAAAAGTGATGAACTTGATCTAATGATACCAGCTTTTCAAAATCTGATAGTCATTCACACCTCCAGCAGCTTCTGTCACCCCCTTGCCTCTTAGTGCCCCCACCCGTAACCCCGCTGCTCCCCAGGCAGCTGTACCCCCCACTTTGGGAGCCCCTGCTGTACCACATATTTTTCTTGCTGCTCCTTAATTCTTGAGTTGTAGCGCTAGTCCCCTGTGCTTGCCTGCTTGTAAGGCTCGCTTCTTTTCCCTTTGTGACAAGGTGATGATCTGATTGGAATAATTGGAGAGCAGTGGGCTTATCCTCAGCATGGGCATTGTGTTACCTCCATCGGAGAGGGAAGCTTAGCACCATAGGGAAGCTGTGGGTTTGGAGGAGACAGAAACAAACTGCTTTCCGTGCATATGTGGGGCCTTTTTGTGCAGAGACGGCTGTGTGTACAGCATGGATGAACATCAACAGAGAATTCAGGATCCTAAAATCTTCCTCTGTGTGCCACTAATTAGGCCATTAATGTGACCGTTTTCCTCTGCATAAAGGAGACGGTTATGGGAGTATAGGCACCGCTGTGCCAGTTGCCTCTAATGCTGATCAGTACTTAATCTGCATGAATGAAATTAATTGCTGACTCACAGCAGAGTTAAAACCAAAGTTTGAAGTGGGTTTCAGGTTGAAACAAAACCTGGTTGCCACTGATGTAACACTCCGTCCGCATAACCACTTCATTGTGGTTAAAATAATCCATGGAATTGGCATGGGGGAATTGAGCCAGGAGCAAACGGCAATCTTCCAATCTCCTAACCATGATGAGAACGAGTGATGTTACACCTGCACAAGAGACAGGTTCCCACATATTGAAATCAGAAGTTGTCACATACTGGAAATAATAGAGAATTAGTGAATTGCAAAATGTTGCCATGTGGGGCTTTGGCGAAGGTTGTTTAGGAGGGTATTTTTGTGTGTAGGAAGGGCTCACAACCTTTTTATCTCTCAAAACATGCAAAGAGTAGTCAGCTCATGTTCTTGTCCCCTACCCAAAACTAATTACACCATCCAGTGTTAAGATACTTATGAACAACAGGCTACACTTGATAAAAAATGTTTTGTAATAGGGATGGGCAAGAATCTTGCATATGTGTATATCCTCTTATATTGGTGGGTGTGCATATGTTTGAAATAAAAGCACCACTTGGAAGTTCTAATACAGGTCATTATTTTTAATTTTACAGCTGTGCATGATTTCACATGATTTTTTCTCCCCCCCCCCTCCAAAAAAAGAGGAAATGGCATGAGGCAGTCTAGAGGAGTGAGAGGGGGCATTACCATGCTGTAGTGGAAAGATGAGGCCAATATGAATTTGTAAAAATATTGATGCCAGGGCTTAAGCCTACCTGAACCATGCTTATCAGTTTCAAGATCAACATTGGTGCATGAGAAGCTGCGGCTTACAAGTCCTTAGGAATTGTGTGCTGCATACTGGGATGAAACTGTTCTGCAATGTTATTTCACATATCTAAACCCCCCCCCCCCCATTCAGGGAATCTTGCCTCCTCTCTCTATCGGACTTCCAATATGGCAAAGGCTTTTCTATTTTGCAGGCCAGACATACCTTTCGCCTATTCTGAGGTATGTTATTATTGCTGTATTGCTCTTAGTTTTTCAGCTGACTGCCTGTTTTTACCATTTCTTTGATATTGCATGTCTTTGCGTTTTAACCGTTTTCTTATTAACTACTTTGGTTTCTTTCGACAAGTGGTGTATACATATATCGTAAACTGAAATAAAACATTGCCACCACATGTTAGAAGATAGCTGTTCAGAGGTGGTGTGGTAGCTGAGGGTGTGAAATCCACAAATCAGCTCTTTCAAGAGGCTGCCTTGGCCTGCCTATTGCAGTCAGCACTCGCCTTGTGGGAATGGATACAAGCCTGCCTTACGGAGCTGTTGTAAGGATTATGGAGCTAGTGTTTATGAAGCTTTTGGAAAATTTAAAGTGCAATGTAAACGTTAACTATCATAACAGGAGTCAGCTCAGATACCGAGGTGAAGCCCTACTCAAGTCTTAAGCCCCTGGATGAGAGCAGGCACGTGTTTACTTTTAAACAATTTTCTGTCCCTTCGGCAAAAAGATTTTGTTAGTGACTGTCAAGAGGTGTGATCCTCTACTCTGTTTAAGATTTGATGGCTCCCTCCACACTGATTTGCCTTCTCAGTCCATTAGATCTATGCACAGCAGTAGGAGGCAAAGCAGTTGTAGAAGCCTGACCTTGTCCTGTAATAATGAACCTGTGTGCAGAGGTAGCATCCCAGAGAAAAGGACCCTGAATAAGTAACAAGCTTGTGTTTTGTGGGTAGCAACTTTTGCAGTGGAAACGTTCCAGTAGGCCTTGGAAGTTTTCCTGAAGCTGAGAAGGCAAGGGAACCTCTTCTGTTATATCTATCTATCCAAAAGACTTGGCGAAAAATTAAGCTAAGATTAACAACAACAACAACAATCTAAGATCAAAGTACCATACATAATGGAAAGTCTGTGGGATCTTGATGCCTGTGCTTCTAGGCCAGGGGCCACCTTCACTGGTCATATATTTTTGCTGAGCCTGAACAAAGATGAAAACAGGACCAGCTCCTCCCCGTGAGCAGTTCCAACCAGTGAGAGGAAATGGAAGCAGCCGTGCAACAGGCACACACAGTTTCAGATCATTAGCATTTGACCCTTTTTGTTGGCTTCTGGCAGGCAGAAGCTAGGGATGATGATGGGTTGCCTTTCTTTTTTCAATACTCAGGGTTTTAGGGGTTCCCCCCCTCCATCTGCTTAGACACGACTGTTCTTTTTTCCATAGAAATATTGTGAAGTAGCTAAAGCTTGGGGGTGGAAGCCTGCTGATAATGGCAGAGCAAATTTGAAAAGCACTTTCTGCTTCTCCCTCCCCCAGATACACAGCAGAGGTTGCGGATAGCCATGCCTAGTGCATTTTTGTTTGACTGTCAGCTTCTTCCAGCTGGCATGGGGGGCTCCTCATTACAATGTCTCTCATTCTGAAATTGGGGAGTATCCCGTGGAGAATTAATTAGTTCCGTGTTGCTCACTCTTCTGTGAGAACTGAGCTGAGGCTGAGGAGAGTAGGCAGAAGGAGCAGGGATGTGGCCCCTCGGAAGCCTTGCGTCAGGGATGTGGAGGTTAGGAAGAAGACAAGCATAGGAAACTGCCTTATGCTGAGTGAGACCTTTGGTCCATCTAACTCAATGTTGTTTACCCTGACCAGCAACTGCTCCAGAATTTCTGACTAGGATCTCCCTCATCCTTGCCTGAAGTTGCCAGGGATTAAGACTAGGACCTTCCATATACACAGAAGATGCTGTGCCTCTGAAGCGTGGCCCTTTCCCAAATGGACCATAAACAGATGCTGTTGAACTACAGCTCCTGTCAACCTCAGCCAACATGACTAGTGGCCAGGGATGGTGGGAGTTGTGGCCTTCCAGGTATTGCTGCAGCTTGTATGTTTCCCATCTCTGCTTTAAGTTAACCAGAGAAGCGCTGTTGCATCCCCATGGCATTTGGAGTTTCTGGTAGGAAATATGAGGGGCTTTTGTCTTTGGAACCCCTGAGAATTTTCATTGAGAATGTTCTGGAAGAGGGGTGCTGCCTAATGTGAGCAAGCCCTCTACTTTATTTATTTAAGACTGGACCTCTTAATTGTTTCTGCTTCTCTGTTGCGTCTGTAGTTTTAGTAAGTTAAATTGATATTTGTACTGTTCCTACATTTTTGTTATCAAGTTACATAAGCCGCCCTGAGGGCACTCCGGGGCCATATGGCGGGGGTATCAGTATAATAAATGATAAAGGAGAAATGGGATAAAAGGCACTTTGCTGCTGTTTTTCAGTTCTGCTACTGAGTGCCTGTGTCTGATCTTAATGCCACTAATGGAAACTTGCCATCAAAAGGCATAATGCAGAGTATAAAGAAAAAAAGTAAATTGTTTTCTTCTGCCCATGGAAAATGTATGCAATTCCCATAGCGTTAAAGTAATAGTAATTTATTATTTGTACCCCGCCCAACAAAGATTAAAAATACATTAAAATGTCACACATTAAAAACTTCCCCGAACAGGGCTGCCTTCAGATGTCTTCTAAATGTCAGGTAGTTGTTTATCGCTTTGACATCTGATGGGAGGGCGTTCCACAGGGTGGGCGCCACTACCGAGAAGGCCCTCTGCCTGGTTCCCTGTAGCTTACTTCTTGCAGTGAGGGAACCACCAGAAGGCCCTCGGCGCTGGACCTCAGTGTCCAGGCAGAATGATGGGGGTGGAGACGCTCCTTCAGGTATATTGGGCGGAGGCCGTTTAGGGCTTTAAAGGTCAACACCAACACTTTGAATTGTGCTCAGAAACGTACTGCAAATATAAAGACAATTCCTCTCAAAAATATGACATGAAAAAGGGCTGGAGAAAATGGAAGCTGTTACGAATAAGGACCAGTTCACAGAACATATTTTGTCTACATATGAGCAGTCAGAATCATCTCCAACCACATGCTTGCAATGGACAAATGTAATGTGTGATCATACAGCTGGCACCAAGTCCCTTAATTATGGCAGCACTTATTTCAGGCACTATGGTTGTAGGAATTGCTGCTAATTCTCTCCATGATTTACCCCCTTTCTACGTTGCGTTACATTTGCATGAATGGTGGGGGACGGTTGTTGCTGTTATTGATGTTAATTTTTAGTATCTTTATTTTAGATCTTATGATTTATGTGGAAATAATTCACCTTGGTTGTATATTTTTTATATTTTGTTTACTGTTTGTGACTACTTTTGTTATGCTGTAATTATGTATTTTTTTCCCTGTTGTAAGCCTCCTTGAGTGTGGTTTGACCTATGGAAAGGCAGCATACAAATAAAATTATGTCTGTATGCATACAAGAAGTGATCAGGACTTGTAGCAGAAACATCAAAAAAGTATTTTATGAATCTCCTTCCTTGTTAGTCTCTAGACCATTTAAATAAAAAATAGCTTTAAAAACAATGCAAAAACTGATAACTGAAGATAGGTGTGTGTGTTCTCTATTGTTTTTAAACCTAAGGCAGCCATGTTGAAAGCCCTGCTCCAAGTAACTATAGAGCAGGCTTCTAAAAAATTAGAATCTTCCGGGAGAAACTCTCCTGCAGAACGCAGTGACCTTCTGAGAATACAAGGGGTAAGATGGTCTCTCAAATAACTGGGTAATATGTAAGTAATGTGAATTGGCCCCCAAAATGTCTATGAAATTGCCCAGCAATGACAGTTAATTTTCAACATTGATAATCGTTCTTCATTGTTGAGAGAGAGAACTTCATCATAACGCACGAAAGAGCAAAGCAGGCATTCTGTGTTGCTAGTAGTAGCCCATTTTTTCGTGTGCAAAGTGTTTATCTAATTTTGTCTTTTTTTGCATTGGCCATGTGAAGGGCTAAGTTAGTCAAAACAGGGAGGGGTGGGGTTTGAAGCCTGTCCAAACTCTACACTCTTCATCATCTGCACTGTTCTGACAATGTATTTTAAAGCAAACTACTAAGCATTGATTTAACTGGGCCTGAATAATGAATATCCATTTCTTGCTTTGTGCCCGTTCTTTGCTTTGCCTGCTCATTGTTTACATAATTCCTTAAAAGGGCTCTAATAAGAGGGCTTTAATCCCCTTCAGGGCTTCTGGGTGGGTGTTGAGGGCTGTCCACATTCCTGTAATGACAGCAATCTGCAACTAGCTGGGTCTTGTGTCAGCAGAAGAACCTGAATAGACCGCTGACCTTGACTACCAGGTGCCTTTGCCGTAGCTGCTTTTGCTTTGCTCCAGAGGCTCTTGCGTTGTCATGCTGTGATGCTGTTAACTGTGCCATGGTGTCAAGTAGCATTAATGGCAAATAGTTGTGTTAAGGGTGGGGCTGAGGAGTTCATCTAATATTCATGTGGTTTATATCCAGTTCTCTTCTCTTTCAGGCCGCTGTGTTTTGAGGGAACCCTGAACCGGGGTTGACCAGAAGATGACCGAGTACAAGCTGGTGGTAGTTGGGGCAGGAGGCGTAGGGAAAAGTGCTTTGACCATTCAGCTTATCCAGAACCATTTTGTTGATGAGTATGATCCCACGATAGAGGTAAGCATCTGCTCGTGTTCAAAACTAACGCATAGACATTTATTTTTAATCTCCCTCCCCCTTTAGCCTTGGTTGTCTTTGCATCCATCATGGGCTTCTACGAAAGCGGTCAAATACAAAGCTTAACCCAACTTCAGAAGCAATTTATAGAAGAAAAGCAAAAGCTCTCCTTCCTTGCACAGTGGCAGGCCCTCAATGGAATAATAAGCACAGTAGGAGAGATGCTGTGGAGGAGACACAAAGTCAATTTGAAATCAGTCCTACTTGAAAGAGAATGGCTGGTAAAAAAAAACCCTAAAAGCCACCATGAGCTCCGCCACTTTTTGAGCTTGTAGTGACTTTAATTATTGCCATGCTTTCTCCTTATGGATAAGGTACTAGCCAGAGAGTTTGCAAACCTGAGTCACCTCTGGTGCAAGTTTTGTGTGTTAATCTACACATTCAATAAGTTCACAAGACAGTCATTCTGAAACAGTACAACTCCAGGTTGCCAGTGGGAGATTGCAAGAGTTTTTTAATGGTTTCCATGGGAAAAATCTCTGCATGTGAGAAATCAGGGAGAGGGGTGTGTGTGTGTGTGTGTGTGTGTGTGTGTGTGTGTTTGCAGTGGCAGGTATTGTGATTGTCCCTTTCACCTGCAGCCATTGATCTTGGCATGCTGTTCATAAAACACGTGGTTGGTTGGTTGACTGACCAAACCCAAAGTGTGTTCATCCTGGAAAAAAGTGACAAGTGGGGTTCTGCCTCAGGGTTCTATCCTGGGCCTGGTGTTGTTCAATGTCCTTATAAACGACTTGGATGAAGTTATAATTGAGGGGATGCTCATCATATTTGCAGATGATGCCAAACTGGGAGGGGTAGCCAGTGCTACAAAAGACAGAATTGGGATTCAAGATGACCTGAACAGATTAGAGAAGCTATACCGATGGCTTCAAGTTATAAGAAAGGAGATTCCAACTAAACATCAGGAAGAACTTTCCGATGGCAAGAGCTATTTGACAGTGGAGCAGACTCCCACGAGAGATGGTGGGCTCTCCTTCCTTGGAGGTTTTTAAGCAGAGGTTGGATGGCCATCTGTCATGGATGCCTTAGTTGAGATTCTTGCATTGCAGGCGGTTGGACTCAGGGTCCCTTCCAATTCTACGGTTCTATGAGATACCCACCCACACCTACTTAGGTGGAATATAAATAGCTTAAATAAATTCATTTTTATATACACACCCACTCACACCTCCAAACCCTACACACACACATGTACATGTGTATGCCACATACATATGTGCACATCTGCATATAACCTTTGGGCTTCCTTCAGCAATCTCATGTGGCGTCTCTCCCAGATTTTCCTCGCAAAGAGAGAAGTTGAAAGATTGCTTTTGCATCACACTGCTACAGAATGATTCCCTCCATAGCCTTGAGGGGCTAAAGTGTTCTATAACCCAGAAGCTCTTTTTCTCCTCCCCCCCATCGGTTGTCTGGGGAAGAACCATTGGGGGTACAATAAAATGGGAACAAAGAGACCCGGGAGTTGGAGTTCTTATAAATAAATTCTGGTAATGCAAAATTAAGTGAGAATTTGTGATTTGTGTGAGGCCTCTTGCATTTATTCACATTTGCTAAGGTCATTCCACCAGCATTTAAGGATTCCAAAGGTGCTTAACCAGGCATAAGCAAACTCCAGCCCTCCAGATGTTTGGGACTACAACTCCCATCATCCCTAGCTAACAGGACCAGTGGTCAGGGATGATGATGGGAATTGTAGTCCCAAACATCTGGAGGGCCGGAGTTTGCCTGTGCTTAACTTTCAAAGTTAAGCAGATGAGAACAAATAGAGTGAGTTATCTGTTGTATTGACTTGGAGTTAGTAATAAGCCCAGACAACTTCCTTCCCATATATGCAATTAGATTTATTTTGTCTATTAAGTTTTTCGTTTTTTCATTCAGCCTCTCTATTTCCCAGACCTTAAATATGGTCCTCAAAACCTGAGACCTCATCAGCATTTTTAAGGTTCTAATTCATTTAATGAGGTGTTGATATCAGTAGTGTAAAGCAGCACATCTCCCACATTTTCAGAATTTGTACTTACAGAACTGATTTATATAGACCATCTCAGAGATGATCTCATCAGCAGACTTTCCGTTCTTTACAACCTTCGGCCCTTTTGTTGTTGGGATGGGGGAATGTATTTTTTTCTTCAGATTTCTGAACTTGGAACTTTCTTCAGCTGTCGGAGCATTATTAAAGTTTGCTTTTTGACTAAGAGAAACATTAAAATACTTTCTTTTTGGTAGGGAGTTGGTTTTGCTTCCTCTGTGTCTCCCAGTTTAGCTTTCTCTTCTCTTATTTTGCTTTTATTTACTACTTGCAGTTCTTCCAGTACAATGAAAACATGCTGAGTAAAGCTTCTTCATATAACCCCAGCCACTGCCTAGCATCAGGCATTTTGATTAGGGGAAGGAGGGAGGGAATGGGGTGGGCACTGTGACACAATCACTGAATATGTTGCTTTAAGTTCCGGTGTCACAGCAGTGTTGGGAAACTGGATCTAGCTGGTGGGCTGAACCTTTATCGCCCCTGGGGACCAAGTTTAACATCAGGTGACATGTTTTTGCCTGTGTGGGTTAGCAGCTGATTGTCTGGGCTTGCGAAGCACCTCCCTTGGAGCTGTGCAGGCCCCAACTGTCAGTTGATTGGCAACGCTTGCAAGCCCTCCTTTGGCCCAGTTGTGTCTTTACTTCTCCCACCCAAGTGTAGGGCAGGTGGTTGTGGTTTGACCAAAGCAGCCTCATGGCCTAAGTTGGGGAGGCCTGGTGGTCTCAGAATATAACATCTGGTGTAAGGCATGGGGGTGTGACTTGGCCAAAACTACCTTGTGGGCCTGATTACTTTTGCAGATCAGAGCTTCCCTCAGGGATCTTCTCTTCCTTATGAGCTCCTTGACTAGCGTGAGCTGATGTTCCCTTTTGGTTTGTTTTTAAAACATCTGTGCTCTTGCTGCGCTTCCAAGCAGTCTAATCAGTCGCAGGGTTCCAAGGCAGGATTCTCCTACCATCCTGAATCCCAGTTAGTCTTTTAACTGTAAAAATGGCAGCTGAGAAGAACTGGGGGGACAATCCAAATGGATCTGGCTAATAATGACAAAATTGACAAACCGGATACATGTGCATGTTTACTCAAAAATAAATTTCTTTTTGTGAATTGATACATACTCCCAGGTAACTGCATAGGATTGCAGCCATACTCAGCTATTTTTGGAATTAAAAAGTGCAGCGCTAAGGATCTGTATATGCATTGGTTCTGTTTTCCTTGTGAGAAGTTGATGTAAATGCAAACATGCAATTATTATGCAATTACATTATGATGTGAATTATGCAATTAAATTATGATGTAAATGCAAACATCTTCTGCGGAAACAATTAACAGGATAAGGCTATCATGTAATTAGTGATCTAGTAATATGTGATATGTCTGCAAATGATTGTCTTGTGCATTGTAGAACTGAATATTTCAGGTGCAGCTGCAGAATCCTGAGAACCTTAACTTAATTAAAAAAACCACGTTTCTAGCCCTTTGGTTGTGAAGAATGCTTTGAAAACATGCTCATTTAGCCTGCTTACAGATTAAGGGCCGGTTGTGCAATGACTGGGAGCTAAATGTGTAAACTGTTTTATGTGGTGTGTGTAATCTGTGTTAGAAAAAGTTTCACATGATCACATCATTAGGTACTGAACCAGTTGACAGATGAATGTGCAGGTGGGAACTTGCCCTTTGAAGCCAGAAAGGGTCTGTGAAGGTTTCTATACTGTGATCTAATTTGATATCCCTTATTTTGATTGTGGGGATTGGGGTATTCTTTTGGAGAGGTTTCCTCCCCTCCCTCAAAAGTAGATGTACGCACCCTTGGACTGAGCCACACTTAAGTAGCTGCATCTGTATACAAAGATGGGAACACAGTGCTGGAGCAACCAAAGAGACCATTTCCATTATGCTTCTGAAAAGCCATTGGGGAGGCAGCTGATACATTATTGATGGGGTTATATAAATGCCTCTCTCTCCCCCCCTCTCTCATGAAAGAGTGAGATGTCAGTCACCTTGAAAGCAGCTGGCATCAAGCCAAGCAATCACTCAATGTTCTTGGGCTTTTCAGTTATTGTTCTGTCTCCCAGGTCCCCCTTGGAGAGTTAGTTACTAGGATGGTCACAGTGAAGCATATCTTAGACTTGCATTGGTAGTAGTCTGGGCAGTTTCTGAATATTTAAAGAGTGGACCGTGGGATTCAGCAGCTGATTATATATATACCTTTGTTTGTGTCAGAACAGTAACACTCTAGTGAATTAATGCGTCTGCTTCTGGTTTCCAAAGGAATTTGGAGGACCCTTCTTAATGTTTGGCTCTTTTTGGAGGTCAAGCCGTTCACTTTCTTGCCCCTTGGTTTTCCTCCAGGAGCAAGGGGCAGCTATGCACAGTGTACATTATTAAGATAGTTCTGGGGTAGCAATGCATATGGTAGAAGTGTACATGTGCCTTATTCCCGGTGTTGCTGCGGTTCTGCTGCTGCCTTCTTCCCTCTAGCAAGCACAGTTTCACTTTTCAGGTTGCTAGGCAGAAAGTTGAAAACCAGAACCTCCAAGGTAGTGTACTAAAGGAGGAAAAGGAGATCGCATAGAAGCTGAATGAATTTATTTGCCTCTGACTTCACTGTGGAAGATAAGGGCGGATGAACTGTGTGTGAACTCATTTTTTCAGGGAGTCCATAGCCCTTCAAAAGTTGTCATCACAGAAGTACCTGGCAAATTACTATATCCCATTTAGAAGTCTTTCTCAGGACAGCTAATGCCACAAATGAGTTGGGATTGTTAAAACTGTTGGGGATTTTAGGGACAATTCTCTCAGAATTTGAGAGAAAATGGGTTCTTGGCCTTTGGGAATGGAAGGAAGCCTTTCCAGTCAGTGTATTTTATAGCCATGCAGAATGGAATACTAGAATAGACCTATTGGGTGTTCTCATAGGTGTGACTTAGTCATGATGTGCTGTATTGTGGATATAGGCACACAGAAAATGCTTATGCTGCACATGAACTCCATTCAGTGCTTGCCCACGGTATATTTACTCACTGGCCTGTATGTGGTGTGACCACAGGAGATGATTGTGACTCTCCCTTGAGCAAAGCTGCTTTTAGAAGGATTAGTATACACTAAATACAGCTAAGAAAATAGGTGTGTTAAGGCTGGGCAGCTCTGGTGTCAAAGGCATACCTTGTCTGTCCTGAGGCAGCCCTGTCAATTCCAAGAACAGGGCCTTGGCTGTATTAGTTGCTACTCTGGCACCAGAGGTGTCACCTCTTCAAATGTTCCTCTTTCCATTTTAAGAGACTGGCTTTAACCAGCAGGGTAATTGAATCGAATTCCACTCAGACTGAGACGGCTTCCTGACCTGTTAACACCCTCCTGCTCTTTAAATTAAGTTGTAAGAATTGCTTTCTGCTAGGTAAAAAGTCCATACCCCTCCCTTCTGCCACCAGGAAGTTTAAAGCCAGGCCCACCAACAACCTTAGACCTGTGAGATGGTTCCTTTGGAGGAAAAGAACATAATGGCTATAGTATTATGTTCAATAAAGTCCTCCCTTTCTGCCAATTTCCCCTTTCTTACCGTGTGATTCTCTTTATTATTGAAGGAACTGATGCTGGCAGGCTAACAGAATATGTCTTGCATTCCCTGGGACATTTGAGCATCCTCTTCCACAGCAATTCATGAATTGAATTTTAAGTGGAAACAGAGCTCCTGCCCCAAAACAGGATGGTCAGTGCTGCACAGAAGTGTCCATATGCAGAAGGGCTTAACGTGATCATTAGGCAGACTCAGCATGGACTTAACAATGGATAGATTTGATGGCGCAAGAGTGAGCATCACATTCAAGAAGGGAGAGACTTTGATAAGAAATGAGTCTTGTGTAGGAACCTGGAGGAGGAGGTGGCAGTGGCAAGATAAAGAGAGAGCTAAACTGTCCTAAATTCACCCCTCTTTAAAATTCCTACTCACTAGATTTGGGTGAGTCCAGCAGTTGAGCAACATTTCAGTTGTGTTTTTCAGATGAGTGCCTTCTAATCTAATTGGCTGCATCAGTAGCTAGGGAAAGTAAGCTAGGACTATACATCCACGAGCAAGGGAGGACCCCAGCTGAGATGATAACATCAAGTCAAGGTAACAAGCAAGTTAAGCAGCTGGGGGGGGGGGGTTGAGCAAGGAGACCAGGGCATGCTACTCTTCCATTGGTTCCGTCACTAAGGAGAGGAGCAGAAGGAAAACAAAAGGTAGGATTCAGGATTGCCATAGGCGAAGTAAATGAAACACAGATAGAAGAGATACGCTGGTGCTTGCTTGATTGCTCCTCTTCTAATGCCTCTTAATTCTCCTATGGCCCTGCAGGATTCCTACAGAAAGCAAGTCGTCATTGATGGAGAGACCTGTTTGTTAGACATCTTGGACACAGCAGGCCAAGAAGAGTACAGTGCCATGCGAGACCAGTACATGCGGACAGGAGAAGGCTTCCTTTGTGTCTTTGCTATTAACAACACCAAGTCCTTTGAAGACATTCATCAGTACAGGTCAGTAGAAGTGAGCTGAGCAGCAGAGGGCATTGTATCACCTTCCTTTTGAAAAGGAAGACCTGGAGGGGAGGGACCATGCTGACTCCACTTTCAGATTATGCTGTGCTACAATTCCACCACCCGAAAAACTGAGCTTTTACCCGATGATCAAGTTCAGCAGCTGGCTAATAGCAGTTGTTATTATCCCAAGGAGACTGCTGATGGGCCAGGGTGAGAGCTCAGTAATGTAGCATTTTAATGTTTCTGGGGGGTTAAAAGGAGAAGCAGCTTCTCTGCTAATTAGTGGAGCAGTAGTTTTCGTGAAAGGGATGTTGTGGTGTCTTTCCTTGAGATCCATGTTTTTTCTTTCCGGCCTGCTCTCTCTCTCTATATATATATATATTGCTCAGACAATGCAGATTTTGCACTAGAAAACCTGGTTCCCACATGAACTGTGCAAATTAAGCACATTAGTTTGCACAATTTATTCTGCTTCCCCCTTTCTTACTAGACTTGGGGTAGGACAAGTAATTCCTGAGCAATGAAGTTCTGTTCCCAGCTTCTGTTAAAAAGGTAACCTGCTCTTTCTCTAGGTTTCAAGATTTCAGATGGCATTGCCTATATATATTTAAGCATATTTATGCAACTGTAAGGGCTTCTCTTCTGCCTTGTATTTGAAACGGCTCAGAGGATCTCTTTTTCTTGATCTGGAAAGACTCTGCTATGGCAATGTTTGAGAACTGTGACCTTAGAGTGGCAAACAGGGTCCCACTGTGCTGAGCAGGAAGAACATCGCTCAGGGTGTGAGCACAGACCCTTTGTCAACAACAGGCTACACCCAGGCTCAGGGCCATATATCTCCCCAAGCCACCGGGCTGCTGTCCAGGTGCAGGATGTTTCCATGTGTCCCTAGGGAAAGAGCCAGGCCTCTGTTACTCAAACAGATGACTGCTCAACTCCCTACTTCAAAAGATGTAAACACGGAGGGACATTGACTCAAGAGATGCAGGACAGCTTTTCCAAATCAATCTATCCTCAGATTCCTGATGTGTTTGCTACAAAGCTTTCCTTCAAGAAATGCTACATGCACACGCACATACGCACTAACTTCTTGCTCAATTCTCAGTGCTGAACATCAGAAAAACAGGGATACCTTGAGTCATTTTTGACCATAAGAAAAATACAGTGAAATATTCACTTCTGTTTGGACAGATATTTTATACACATCATCCTGCATATTCCTCGCTCCCCCAGTAGGTTAACAAAGCTATGCTTCTCTTTGTAAATTATTATTATCATTATTGTTATTGGCTGTTTGTGTCTGCTGAAAGCTCAGAACCCCAAGCATCAGGATGTTGGGCAGTGGTTCTGCACTTGGGTTGATACCAGGAGACCTCTAGTATAGCTCCCTTGCTGTTGTGTCCTGGCCCCTGTTTCATTTGCCTCCTCTCCCTCCATTTTGTTCCGAAGCCCCACATCCTCCTGTGATAGGCCTGTTGGGTTTTTTGCATCAAGACCATGGGTTTTAATTTGTTGGCAGATGTGTGTGGATTGGTAATGTTCCTGGCATCCTTTGAGGGGTGGGGAGGGATTAGACTTGAGCTGCCTTCTGGTGTTTTTCAAATCTGCGGTTCTGCGAGTTCTCACCTTCTACCACTTCAGTGTTTGCTCAAACGCCACCAAGTTCTGCATAAACAAATATTGTGCTAAATTAAATTATGCAAGACATATTTCCCTTGGGACACGAGGCTCTTCCAATAGTAGCAAGATGCCTTAATGCTGAACAAACACTGCTGAAGTGTCATCGCTACTGTGGAAGAGATGTTGTAGTAAATGGCCAGTGTGAACCTTGGCCTTGATAAACTTCCTTCTGCGTAGAGAATTTGAGTTTATTCAGCCTATAACTTTTCAAAAGGGGCAGGACACAGCTTGCAACCTATATATCTTCCCTGTACAGTGGTACCTCGCAAGACGAATGCCTCGCAAGACGGAAAACTCGCAAAACGAAAGGGTTTTTGGTTTTTTGAGTTGCTTCGCAAGACGATTTTCCCTATGGGCTTGCTTCGCAAGACGGAAACGTCTTGCAAGTTTGTTTCCTTTTTCTTAAAACCGTTAACACAGTTGCAACTTGACTTCGAGGAGCAACTCATAGCACGCGGTGTGGTAGCCTTTTTTTGAGGTTTTTGAAGACTTTGGTGATTTTTGAAGCTTTTCCAAAACTTTTCCGACACCGTGCTTCGCAAGACGAAAAAACTCGCGGAATGAATTAATTTCGTCTTGCGAGGCACCACTGTACTGTTTTTGGTGCTTGCTAAAAACTGGTTTATTTAGGCAAGGCTAGAGCACGCAACCCCAGAGTCTTCCGCGACTGGACCTAACGGTCAGGGGTACCTTTACCTTTACCTTTTTTACCCAGAAATATAAAGTTGAGGTGTGTTTTAAGAGGCTTTTTAAAGTATACTTTAAATTCCTGGTTCTATTTACATTTTGAAATGTTTTGATCCATTTCTTTTTAACTTTTGGCTTTTATCAACAATTTTCAGGCATATTTTATTTAAACTGCTTAGATATTTTTAATGATAAAGTGGTATACAAATTCTGTCAAATAAAATAAACGCAATATATAACCCTACTTGCGAAATCGGGAGGCAGAGAATGTCTACAGCACCATTCTGCTTTGCTTCATCGTCTCTGATCAGGATCTTAAAAATGCAGAAAATGGTGGCTTTTCCTTCATTTGCTCAACTTCTGGTTTCTCCTCTGCAGGGAGCAGATCAAGAGGGTGAAGGACTCTGATGATGTCCCGATGGTATTGGTGGGAAATAAGTGTGACCTTCCAGCCCGGACTGTGGAAACCCGGCAAGCCCAGGAGCTGGCTCGGAGCTATGGGATTCCCTACATAGAGACATCGGCCAAGACTAGACAGGTATGTAGCGGGCAGGTGTGCAGTTACTTTCCACCTTTGGAATGAAGAGAAGAATCCAGCCTGTACTCCCAATAAATCATCTTTTAGTGTGTTCGTCAAGCTCTCTCCTGTGAAAACCGAGCTATAACTTCAGTAGAGGATTTCTAAAGCTTTGGGTGTGTGAACCAGATGGGGATTCTGCTATCCCCATATCACATCTCAGCAAGTTGCAGATTTGGTGTGTCCAGTTATTGAGACTGAACGAGCGTTTGGCCCCAATTTTCAGGAAGAGCACAACTTTCATAGTGTAGCCTTCCAAGTTTAGAAGCCTGCTTTGAATGTTTTTCTGCCCTTTCTCTGGCTGGGAGAAACTGTCCAGCTGTTCTAGTAATGGCAGAAAGCCCTGTCTCCCCACCCTTCTCTGCCACTCCCTTCCTTGTAGCCTGCTTACCTTCATGTGTTGTACAGAAGGATGGATGTTGGGCTTTCCTTTTCCTTTGTATAAGACTGCTGCATGATTGACAGCAGTGAGGCTGGCACGTAGCCCCACTGAGCAAACGCCACACATGTGCCGTCGGTCTCCCAGTGCTCCAGCTGCTAATTACGCAGCAGGTTGTGTGGCCTCTGCTGATGGCCCTTGAGCGCTGGGGAACATAAGTGTGAATTACAGAGGCTGGGATTGAGAATGATTTTTCCATTAAGGCGATGCTCGGATAAAGCTGGCAAGTAGCCTGGCTCAGCTACTGGCTGCAGTCTTCTAAGTGACGGCGAAGACAAGGATTCAGCCGGAGGCAGTGGTTCTCTAGGGACTCTCACTGTGCTGTTCTCTACAAGCCATTTCCTGTGCCCAAGTTTAGGCACCTATGCTCAGTTAATGGTCCCGCCATGGAGGCATGAGGTCAGATAAAGAATACACAGAAAGTGCTGCTGTGCTCATGGGAATAACCAGTGCTATTTTTCCAGAAAAAGAGGTGACAGAACTCACCTCTTGTTCTCTTACAATGGCAATGGCACCCACCTGAGAGGTGCGTTCTGGCTGGGGGCAAAAAGCACAGGGAAATAGCAGTTTGCCATATCCTTGTATGGCCTGTAGTTTATACCTGGCTCTCTCCATGTGATTCCAGACCCACAGGCAGTACAGATGTTTGTGTGAAGACATAGGTCAGACTGTGAACCAGTCGCTGGTTGAACTGGTGTGTTACTAGTTCACAACAACAGGGTATTGTGTGTGTTCTCGATTTCTGGAATCAAACATCCATATTTCCAAGTACTCATCTACACTGTAAAGAAGCAGTGTTTGTTCTCTTCACTAGTGTCCATGCATTCAGAACCAACCCCATTGACAGCAGAAAATGGATTCTCAGCGACTCTTTTGAATGGACCCTTGGTGTTGGTGAATATGTATGTGCGTGAGAGGGAGGAGTTTGTTCTCAAGACACTTTGTTGCTCTCTCACAGGGAGTTGAAGATGCCTTCTATACTTTAGTGCGGGAGATTCGGCAGCACAAACTACGCAAATTGAATCCCCCAGATGAAAGTGGCCCAGGCTGCATGAATTGTAAATGTGTGATATCATGACTAAGGTAAGATGGTGGGGAAATGAACAAAGCATGTAGGGAAAATGCCCACTTCCCCAAATCATCGGCTGCAACTTAAGTGCTTGAAGAGTTCCTTTCACCTCCTGAATGGGGCAAAACCAGAAGCAATGAGCATTAAAGGCACTGTGCTGAGTTCCTCAGTCTTGTTCGCAGGGGGTGATTCCCTTAGTTGTTCATATTTATGAACTAGATCAGGCATCCCCAAACTCGGCCCTCCAGATGTTTTGGGACTACAGTTCCCATCATCCCTGACCATTGGTTCTATTAGCTAGGGATGGTGGGAGTTGTAGTCCCAAAACATCTGGAGGGCCGAGTTTGGGGATGCCTGAACTAGATGGTGTCCCGCAAGCATTTTGGAAGGTGTAGGGTGTGGCTGGTGCGGTTTTGCAGCCTGTGTTTTACAGTTCTAAAGCAATTAAAAGTGTATTTTGATCACAATTACTGGGGGAGATGCTTCAGACTAGACTGGCTTACTGTCAAAGATGAGTATGAATATCTACATTCACTGTATGGAACTTAATGTATAATCTACCCTTCCTGTGTAGCTGAGCAGTAAGCAGAGCTCTTCCCTTCTCTATGGAAGCAGCAGCTTGTGTGTTGCTTTATATTAAAAAACGACACTTAATTCTACTCTGCCTGAAAAAAATTATGACAGAAGAGTGAATGGATGTCAAGTCAGTTGGGATCTCCCAGCAGACCCCATTCTTGAGCTGTACCTAGGGCAGCTATTGTTGTTTTAAAGGGGGGTTTCCAGATGTGCAAATAATCCAGATGTCTGAGAGCATTTCCTCTGGCCGGGGTTGTGAGTTTGGTTGGGTGGGGGGCCATTTCCTGTTCTTTTGCTGCTGAAAGTGCACAGATGAATCCCAAACGCTCCTTAAACTGCCTGCCCTGAGAGAGATGCTACTGCCAACAGCTTGTGGGGAGGAGAAAGCCCTGTTCTTGCCAAATGTGTGTTCATTTCAACGCCCCCATTCACTACCCTCGTTGTTTGTGGAATGTCAAGGTCTGGCCTTCCTGAACTCCTCTCTTTCTCTCTCTTACTAGAAAGCTGCGCCAGTGAGGAGTGCATAACTTGGCAATATGCTGATAGGTGTGGTCCCGGCTCTTTTGTGGAGGAAATGGGAGCTGGTTTTCCCGTAATTATCTGCAGTGCAAATGGGATCCAGCTTTATGTTGGACAGCATCTTTCTGAAAAAGCAAGCTGTCCCCATAAGACTTTGGAGAATTGCATAAGCAGGGCTAAAGCTACAGGAAGTGTGATGTCTAGGATTCATAAAAGGGGAGCAGTGGAGTGACAGGGTCATGCAAAAGAATAGCTTTCCAGCTAAAGAAAGCTTCTTGCAAGTTTTTATCCCACCACCACAGGTCCTATCTTTACAGAAGGTGAATTCCCTTTTTTTGGTTGCCATGCTGTCTGTTCATGTAGCATTTGTAATCCCCTATCTTCCAGCGTTTCATATTAGAATTGCATATTATGTTTAATGCTGTGAGTAGTGTTTGGGCACTGTGGCTATATTTCCTTCCTCTTTGTCCTAATGATGGCCCAAAAAAATTATTGAGTTTGAGCCATTTCTGTCCACCTGACCTGTGTCCAGCCTCATCTTATATCTGCTTTGAGAAAAGCAGCTTAACACTGAATGCTAGACCCAGAAGGATGACTGTATATTATGATAGCCAGGCCTTAGCCTTCTTCATAGATAGCTTAGTTGGTAGAGCATGAGACTCTTAATCTCAGGGTCGTGGGTTCAAGCCAAAAGGATTTCCTTCATTGCAGGGGTTGGACTAGATGATCGTAATTTCCCCTTCCAACTCTGCAGTTCTATGATTCCAAGCTGCCCCATGTGTATGCAGAGTTCAAGTCCACCTTCTGAGTTTCCAGAAGGGTGGTACTTCAAGGAAACGAGAGGGCAGCCACACATGCATTCATCTCTTCATTGCCCAACACAAAGCAGAGCTGAGATCATAGTGGACTTAAAGCCTTCTTCTGTCTTCTAGTATTAAAGTAGTAGTAGCTGTGAGACAGCAGAGCCATTCCCAGTGCCATAACTGTGAAGGGAGCAGCAGACAGTAGATGTCCATCCTTTCGATAGTTATTTACAAGGCTGGTGTTATGCATTAAAAAAAGGTGATGGTACTGTTACTGCTAAAGCACGTGATGGAAGGCATCACAGATTGGGCCATGCATTCTCTCCAGATTTGCCTATATTGGAATCCCATGGCTAGGCCAATATCCACATGCAGCAAACACTGTATGCTCAGTGGATGGGTAAATCAAAGAACTTGGGTAATGGACTTTAAGAGTCACAGCATCATCCTGAGGATACTAAAGAGTACTGCACCCATTTTTCCTGCAAGAAATGGAACCTCAATGAGAAGTTCAGCATTACCAAATATTCTACAATTACTGACCCAAACTTTCTTCCTTCATATTCCTAGTTAAATGTTGATACTATTTTTATACTGTTTTTTTAAATTTTGCTATGCTTCTTAAAACAGCACAGCTCAATGGTAGTGAAAGATGAGATAGGCATGACCAAGTGACTGGAAATTAAAGCAGTCTTGATGCTTTATGTGGCCAGCTGGTGTTGTAAGTTGACTGACAAAGAGTCTCCACTGTGACATCATATTTAAGCCAACCTGTCACCACCACCAGCAGGTATTGAATGTCACACATGGGAAGCTTTTAAGCCACTGCAGCCAATGCTATTCTTTTTCAAGGGAGACCATTCACACAGTCGCCTGTAAATCATTGAGGGGCAAGACACCACGTGTTATATACATGAACATGGGAATCTGGACTTAAATCTGGTATAGGAAGAAACTGACTAATTCAGACCTCTTCCCAGAAGAGAGCCATTGCTATTAAAATGCTGGCAAAATTTAGTGAACTTCAGGTTGTGTTCATATGATTCCTTGCTGCTCTCCCATCCCACTGACCCAACCCTTCTTAGCTTCTTCATGGTTGCTGTGTCATGTGCTTTCAAACCATGCCATGAAAAGTTGGAAGGAACTAGTCAGTAAACGTGGGGGGGGGGGGGAGAGGAGAGAATTCTCAGTAGCTATTAAGTTCAACACCCCAAAATGCACTTGGCACTAAGCAATTTGCCCTGCTGTATAATAGGTAGCTTTTTAACAGCTGCATGAACTTACTGCTCTGCTTGTCAAGAGTCAGCTGTAACAGAGCACCACCTTCTTATTCTAAGCATTAGCTGTTTGCTGCAGAAAGGCCACTCCATGAGTGGTAACATGCCTCAGAGTTGCTGCAGCCACAGAGTCCACACCATCAGACCTTGAGAAAAGAGCACACTGGAGAAAACCGTGTCATAGAGCTGCTTTCTCCAAAGCAAACTGTCCCACCTCTGGATTTCTCTTACTCTGCAAAGTTATTTTCTGTGTCTTTTGGCATTGTTTAAAACAGTGTGGTAGGAAGAATGCAAAGTGTTCGTTTAAAGGTTTCTGAAGTGTGTTATATATTGGGAAACCATGTGTGCTTAAGGAAATGGTGAGCTGTTCTAATATCTGTCTTCTCTGTTCACCAGCTGACCAGACTGTGACTTGGAGGGATTTCTACTGTGTGTAGTGCAGAGACAGAGGCGACATGAAAGAAGAATCAAGTGGATTCAAGGGAAGGGGACAGACGAGATGGTGTCTGCAGGCCCCAAGAGCTCTGCACAGACTGTCTCAAAACTTCACCAAGGCCTGCAATGAACTATTTTTTATTTTTATTTTTGAAATGCTCCTCTCCTCTCCTTGCCTCCCTCCCCCTCCTGGCAACTTGTACAAAGCCACAGATGGAAGTAAATTATTGTATGATGGTCTTGACACTGGTTTCTGCATCTCTGTCCCTGTTCCTGAGGATTGACTGGCATTGCCTGTTCTTCTGGAGCAGGCACTGGCAGGGGGGGGGGGGCCATGCAGAGCAGCCAGGCAGGTCGCTGCTTCAGCCTCTTTGAGCTTGCCTCCTTGGCAGGGGCCAAAGCCTAGTTGGATCTGCGGCTGTGCCCTGGCCTGCTGCTTTTCTTTCAAGAAGCCTTTTATAGATAGGGAGCAAATGTGGGTTGAGTGGCTCCACCACTGTATCTCAGAAGGAGAGTTAGCTGTGGCCTGCAGAAGATCATACCTCTTCAGAAAGCATTGCCAAGAAATTCCACCCCCTGACACTCTGCCATTCTATAGTGGTAGGGAAACTCTTTACTGGTCTCGGCCATTTCTGGGGGTGAGGTGGGGGAAGACATATAAACATACCTCCTTTATATTCGTAATGGATTCTAAGCCAATTCTCAAACTGCTGTTCCCAGAGTTGGGTTTCATTTACCTTTGCCCCTGTTGGTTTACATTGGCATAAACATGGAAGACGATTCCTTCTCGTTGTTCTTGGCAATTGTTAATTCTCCCCTGCGCTAGAACAACCCAGTGAGTTTTCTCTGCGGAGAGTAGTTCTGCCTGGTGAAAGTTCCCTGCAGGCCTGGGGGGGGGGTGAAGAAGGGGAGAGAAGGGGGGTGTTCCTTTGCAGCATGTCACTCCCCCGCCCTTTTGTGGTGTTGGGAGGACTTGTGTGTGTGTGTAAATATATAAATGACTATACAGCAGCTTGTTGATTGCAACTGAAGGATGTTGATTCTCCGTTTTAGTCTCTGTGTTTCACTGAGCCCAACTTCTGTTTCATCCATTAATTACCTGATGGAGTTTGAAGGAGAACAGCTCTTTCTTGTCCCTTTTGTGGGGGGGGGGGGGCATTGGGAGCTGTGTTGTCTTTCTTCCCCCGGAACCATTGTGTCTTATGAAGGGGTGGGGAGGGGTGCCTAATGGACAAGAAATGGTCACTTGTTGGCTTTCTTCTTTGTTGTAAGTTTGGCCATTTCCTGAGCAGTTTTTTATGTTTGTTGCCTGTGCTGGGGCTGACTGCATTGATGTGCTTGTTGCAAATCTTGTGAACTTCCTGGAGGGGCAGCTGGTCTCTGGAGGCACAGGAGTGTGTTTCCTTGTTCCTGCTCTGACCTCTTCTTTCCTTTGCAGCCGCTGTGCCTATGCTGCTGCATGCACAGCTCAAATTCCTGCTCTTCAGGTAGCAGCTCCTCTGTATTAATGTGACTGTACCAATTATACTTGCTGTTTTGTTAAAGGTTTTGCCAGTAAGATAGTCAAGCCAGGTGCTCGGCCCTAGCTGAGCTAAGGGAAACAAGTTCCTTCCAATAATTAGGTGACTGGTGTGGATTTTTAAAGGGGGGGGGTCGATCCAATGTTGGAGGTGTAAAAGAGAACCCAAATCTAGCCTTAAATGTCATTAAAAAGTGTTGTTCTCAAAGGTGTGTTTATTTTTGAAGTTGACTATTTGCATGTTGCATCTCACTGGTTTGATGCTTTTTTTCCAAAGTTTGCCGAGTATTAAATCACCTTTTTGGGCTGCATCTGAAGATAGGACCACACGCTCTCACTCTTGAAAACAAATGCGCAGAAATCTGTGCTATCTTAGTCCCACCTCCATGGTTGATCTTCTTGAACTGAGACTGTTTTTGGGAGAGGGATAGCTGTTGCTTGGTAACAAAGATGACTCAATACAGTTGCACACTCTCTTGACAAATTATTATTATTCCTACCTTAGTGGATAACTTCTATTCTCTACAGCAGGGGTAGAGAACTTGTGGCCATTTACAGTTCCCATCAGCATGGCCAATAGCAAGTAGTTCAGCAACATGGAGAAAGCTAGTTTCCTCACCCCGTGCTACAGGTTTGTTGGATCATGCAACCTTAACAAGGCTACAAATGAACACTTGCTTGAGGCTACTACAAAAGCAGAAATGGTGAGCAGGATCTCCTATGGGGCTCTTTGCAATTACTTCTCATTATCTCAGTTTGGCATGGCATTTGGTGGGGAAAGCATCTTTGTACATAGGTCTGCTGTTATAGACTGAGATACATGGGCACATAGGTGTGTACACATACCTGGATAGCAGATAGTGGCTAGATATCCAACTATTGATTCAGAGCTGAGGACAGAGGCAGCCTCTATAGTTTTGCCATTTGTTAAACAAGCACCTGTAGCAGGGGTATGATCATGGGAGAAATAAATATGGCACATGCAGCACATCAGAGACATAGCTGCTATTGTTCCTTGAATACTTTTTTTGGTTCCTTGAATACCTTTTTTACAATCAGATAAACATGATGTGAAAACTGCTATATCACCACAACAGATGTGCAGAATGCGGCATGAATAATGTGACAAAGCGAACGTTAGTTTTGCCCTGACGGTGGTCTTCATGCAGGCAGCTGGCACCTGGATTCTGAAGACAACAAATGGGACAGGGCCCTTATGCCTTCCTGTTTTCTAAACGTCTGCTAGTACTGTATTCCAACCCAAAATTGAAGTTTGAGAGTGAAAGATTTACTTATAATTCTTAGAGAGTCCCCAGCACTTAGGGAAGAAGGGTTACTTCATGTGAATCCAAGTGAGTGACTTTTTTCTTTATGGAACTGATGGTGGGATAGCCTGCCTTGCTCCTGAATTCAACCAAGCTGGAGAAATCCACCTAAGAGCTGGCATAGGGAACTGGCTCATTTGTTACTGCCAAGTTTTAAGAAAAATCCTAAAAGATGAGTGAGAAAACCCGCATTTAAATCTAAATCACAGGCTTGAACAGCCGCAACCTTCATCTGTGAATTTTTCCTCCTTGCTATATGCAGTGCTAGCCTGTTATGATAGAAATGTATCTAACAGAACAGACTAATGATAGGTTGAAATTGTCCAAGCTAAAGGAAAAACATAGGTTCTACAGCTGGGCTGATGAACAGGCTTCACTATTGTTCTGTTTTCCCTGCTGTTGCGTTTAAGTTAAAAATAGAACAAAGAGCCATGCTTGGGCCTAAGTCCACTCCAGGCCCTACTTAGCAGCCATTATTCAGGACTGACTCATTGACTGATTAGCAACACAGGCAGGAACTCTTCACAAAGGGCGGGGGGAAACATTGGCTACCACTAAAAAAAATAATTGGAGCACCAGGTTGCAAAACTCGTGTGAACGATGGATGCACAAGTCTTAAGGGCCTCCAGTGCAGTTAGCACTTTGCCTCTGAACCAGTTCAGAATGTTGCTGCTGTTGTCCAAAGTCTCTTGTTCAAACTCAGTAGTGCTTAGTCTAGAAGAGAGGACTTCTCTGCCCCACCTTCCCCCCCCCAAAAAAAAGAGGTGTGTGTACTCATGCTTATTCCAGATGTTCTGGTTTGCTTGAAAACAATATATTGTGAACTTGAAGACAAGTCATAACATGGAAAAACTATTTTAAAAATCCAAAATGTCTAAGCAGGGTTGGGTAGTGCCCTCTTGTGGCTGCAGCAGTCTCTGCCTTCATCTTCCTTTGGTAAGGGAAGTCTCTCTGCAAGCTGTCTCCTGTTCCACTTTCTATGTAAACATTTGTGAGGAGGACTGACAGGGCACGGAGAAGTTAAATTTGCACTTTGGTCCTAGCCCTGTGAGAGCATTTCTTGCTCAAAGCTTAAAGGAACGAATTGTAAGGAGCACCTCTTGCTTTCAAGGGAGCTGATATGTAGGAGAACGTCATGGGACACAGTGTGCTTATTAAGAGAAGGCAAATGTAACGACACTTCCAGCTGGTTCTGCAAAAGTAGAAGCTAGCTTATTAAGCAAGCAATGCTAATTAAATACTAGCTAAAACACTCCTGTGATACATAAAATCCTTCAGTGAGCACAGCAAGAATTCTAAAGTTATATCTTTTCATTTAAACTAGCAGGATATTTCTGTTAACCTAAACACATTCTCTGGACGTTTAGTGGCAAAGTTTTTCCCCTTTTTTAGCCAACTAAGACAGTAAACCTGCACCTGGAATATCCCACGTCAGCCACAAAGACAGACTTACATGCTGGAACTCCTCCATAGGAAAAAGTTGCACAGATGGAGGGAAAGATTGTAACCTAGCCTTCTTCCCAACTTCCTAGTTTCTGTGCAGTGAATTAAACCACCCGCTATGTCTGAACTGCAGGCACAGCAGTGGTTGGTTGTGGCAAATAGGCCTACATTAAACTCGGATTTATTTTTTTAAAGTACCCTATCCTTAGAACCAAATATTCCATTCAACACAAGTATCTGATGATTGCTGTTTTGAGAATCTCTCAAAAAAGATTTCAGTCTCCCCAAGCAGCTTAGTTTCAAACACCTGTGCCCTTCCTCTCAGATTGCTTCCACGTGGTTACTCTCTCACATAGCAAGCCATTCAGAGGCAAATACCTGCTTGCGGAGCCTCCTCTGTGGTTCACACCCACACTTTAAAAAGCTGTCAGCACAAATGGCGACAGTGTGAAGACACCCACACTGTGAGCACAGAAATGTCTCAAAGCATTTCAAAAGCAGCCTTCATCGATGGCACTTGAAATATGCAAACTTCCAAGGTTCACAAGGCGCTGCATCAAGCTGCAGAAAAAGAGCAGCAATGGCAGTGATTTTCACAGCCCATTCAGTAATATAAACATTGCAGTTGCTGTTTCCCCACTGCACTTGCATACAGTTCCAGTAACTTAAAACTGAGGGGAAAAGAGATGCATTATTTAACTGATTTTGATTTTCGTCGTTTGAGACCAGCATAGCAACCAATAACACAATATGCATCTTCAGGGACCTGGCATGTTATGCACATCTTTTGCATTTGCTACTATTGCCTAAGACCTGCTGTATCAGACATGAGGCCTATCAAGTCCAGCACCCTCCTCTCGCAATGGTCAACCAGATGAAGAAGAGGAGTTTGGATTTGATATCCCGCTTTATCACTACCCGAAGGAGTCTCAAAGCGGCTAACATTCTCCTTTCCCTTCCTCGCCCACAACAAACACTCTGTGAGGTGAGTGGGGCTAAGAGACTTCAGAGAAGTGTGACTAGCCCAAGGTCACCCAGCAGCTGCATGTGGAAGAGCAGAGAAGTGAACCTGGTTCACCAGATTACGAGACTACCGCTCTTAACCACTACACCACACTGGCTCTCTTGTAGATGCCTACAAGAAACCTAGAAGCAGCACAGGAACCCAGTAGCACTCTCCGCACTGCTGCTCCCCATTAAGTAGTATTCAGAAGCATAACGTCACCAATATTGGTAATAGTACACAGCTATCATGGCATTAATAGCTTTCTCCTCGATGAAATTGCCCAGCTCCCTTTTAAAGCCATCAGTCTTGCTGACCATTGCTAACAATACCTTGCGGTAGTGGATTCCGTTTATGTCCTTTTGTCTTGAATCTTCCCATATTCCGTTTCATTGGATGATCTCATGTTCTAGTATTAACAAGGGAGAAAAAACTTACTCACTTTCTCCCTGCCATGCATAATTTTATAGACCTCTACGTATCAGCAACAAAGAGCAAAGCTGGAATTAGCTGCTTATGGAAGAAAACACAAAATCCATCTGAGATGCATGTGATTGACATCTGATCTGCACAGTAGAGGGGAATAATCTGTAAAACTGAAGAATTTGCAAATTATTGCCATCCTTGTAAATTATTGCCGTACTTTAAGTAGCGTTCTACCTTTTCAGAACCAGAAGCTCAATTGTGCATTTAGGGGCCCATTCCTTTGTCTTTTTAAAGCTTATATATATGTGGTTCTGTTGTGACCCAAGTTCAGTCAGGCTGTTATGCGGGAGCGAGTCATGACCCATGACTTGCAGACAATTGTTTTAGTTTATCGGGTCACAGGCCACAGCCTACAACTATTGCATATTCTTAGCGTGAAGTACTATAGAAGCAGAAAACTAGAATTTGCCTGCCATTAGCCCAGAAAGGATACTAACCATCCAGGAGGACACACACACACAAAAAAACATAGTACTGTCCACATGAAGGCAACTCCAAAGTTTTGGCACCATCCCAGCAAAAGATTACCTGAAATCATTGCTCCCCAGCTACTACAGAGTGTCTCCAAGCAAAATACATCCTTAGCCAAGGGAATAGTGCTGACAAGCCGTGATCTAGCAGTGTTCCATGTTGGATACAAATATTACCTTTCAGGCTTGGCATACCTGGTGCTGTAATAGTTAGGCCAAATTTCTTCTAAGTAAGATTCATAGGATGAACAATGGTGAATAACTTCTAGTTCCCCTCCTCTCCACATCTAACTTCTTCCAGCAGCCGTAGGAAGAGGCCCAGTGTCCCTGGGAACTCTTGGTGCTCTCTAGCTGAGTGGCTTAGCCCAGCCCAGCCCAAGAGCTCAGCACAAGAAGGGATGTGAGAAATAAATCCACACATGTCGAATTACAGAATCAATTTGCAGCCGTTTGTCCTAAAATTTAACTGTTATTACAA